ACAGTCTCAAAGCAGAATCTTCCCCTTGGGGAAGAGCAGGGGTTCTCCAGCTGGACACTGTTGACATTTTGGGCTGGCTAATTCTGTATTGTGAGGGACTGTCCTGTGCATCATAGGATGTTTAGCAGCATCCCTGGCCTCTACTCACTAGATCCCAGTAGCCACGCACCAACCCCCACCCCCCCCAAGGTGTGACAACCAAAATGTCTCCAGACATTGCCAGATGTCCCCTGGGGAGCAAAATTGCCCCGGTTGAGAATTCCTGAGGTAAAGTAAGCAGGCAAGGTGCTATTAGGGTGGGTTAAAGTGGGATCCTACTGTTACCTCATGGTCCAGGGGGAGGCTGGGGCCCAGGGTCGCACAGCAGGTAGAGATAGGACTGGAATCCAGAGCTCTTGTGCCTGTCATATCTCCACGGCTCCCTCAGAACAGGTGGGCAGAGCCCAGGGAACAACCAAGCTGAGGCCCCCAGTGTCCACTTGCCCGGCCATTGCTATCTCCACAGCAGTGCCCATCAGAGTCCGGGCTTACTCTCCAGAAGCTCCAGGTGGTCAAGCGAAGTGGGCCTGGTGCCATGAGCTACTGAGGTAAGATGCCCTGGTTGGGCATCTAAAAATGTTGCCAGGGCCAGGGGTGTTGGTGTGGAGCTCGCCATGGCCCTGCAGGGGAGGTGGGCATTGGCAGAGTGGAGCACCAGCCTACCTGTTGGGACAATAAAACTGCCACCAGAGGTGAAAGATGGGTCTCCCTGCCACAGGGACACAGACAGCCATGGAGACATGGCAGCAGGGCTGATTTAGGGCAAGGAGAGGGAGGCATGGAGGACGAGAGACCCAGTCAGAGTCAGAGATACAGAGCCAGAAGCAGAGACAAAGAAGACAGAGACAGGGTGAAAAGAAGCAGAGAACAGGGAGGCTCCGAGATAAGGAGAGACAGGGACATAAAGGCACAAAAAGTGTGAGAAAAAGACAGAGACCAGAGAGACAGAGATGCAGAGGGTAACAGGAGCGTTAGAGAGAGAAAGGGGAGAGAGAGCTGGAGAGGGGCCAGAGTCCCAGAGAGGGAGGAAAGAGAGCCTGAGAACCAGAGACTTGACACAGACACAGAGACAGTTGGGGAGACAGCTGGAATCCTAAGGAGACAGGCCAGAGACACCCAGAAAGAGGCAGAGAGAGACTTTGGTCCTTTGGTCTCAGTCTCTCCTCTCTGACCCAGAAGCTGCATCTGTGTGTGTCCCTGCGCACATGTACATTCATGTGCTTGCATGTCATACCTCCTGTGGGTGCACGTGTGTCTGGCGCTCAGACAGTGCTGTTTGCACTTATTCCCTAATTTACCAGGGGCGCCTGTGGGTTGCCGGGCTCAGCTGTAAGGCAGTGAATACCAGTGGACAGGCCCCTTGTGGAGCCACTTGCTTCTTCATAGAGAAAGACAATACACAAACAAACATATACCAGAGCTATGCAGAGATTTCAAACAGTCATGTGCTAGGGAGTGACTCGGGCCACCTGTCATCTGGTGGTCAGAGAAGGCCACTCTGAGGAGGTGACTTATGAGGCGAGACCTTGATGTCAAAGGGTCAGCCTAGCAGAGATCAGGGGCCAACCCTTCCAGAGAGAAGACTTGGTGCAAAAGCCCCGAGGGGAAAACCAACTTGGCGAATTCAGGACTGAGAAAGCAAGCCAGTGGGGCCGCAGCTTCCGGGTGATGTGGCTGGACAAGAAGGCAGAGGCCAGATCGTGATGGACTTGGTAAGGCCAAGGGAAAGCTTTTGGGTTTTCTTCTAAGTGAAATGAAAACTGGAAGATTGAAACAGGAGAGTGGAATCAACGATACAGGTTTGGAAAGGTCTTGCTGCCTGCTGGGTGGGACATAGCAGGTTGGGAGGCTCCTGCAATAGGCCGGGCAGAAGAGTTGTGGCTTAGGCGAGGGTTGGGAGAAGTGGGTGGATGCCGGCTGTGTTTTGAGGGTAGAATCGACAGGATAGTGGGGGAAAGGAAGCAGCCAAGGATGACTCCCAGGTTTTTGGCTTGAGCATCTGAACAAATTATGGTGGAGTTTACTAGGATGAGCAAGACAGGGAGAAGCAGACCTGTGGGGAATAGTCAAGAGGTCTCTTTCGGCCATGTGTGATATGCCTGTGTGCACACATGCCCAGGTGGGCACATGTGCATGAGAGTTTCAGACACCTCTGCTTGGTTGCATGGGGACTCCTGGGTCTGTCCTGGGATCAAGCCCTGTCTTGGCTCTTCACTTTCCCCCAGCCCCAGGGGCTGCTCCTGCCAGATGGGGATTCCCCAATGGCCAGCTGGGACGGTGGGATGGGTGTGGCCTCGGGAATTGCCGACATCTGGGCATACTACCCGGGGCCCAGTAGGCCTTGGTAGCCCCATCCAGCAGCGGCAGGCAGGCTCCAGGGCAGCTGGTGGCGATTAGCAGCGTTGATTACCTCGTGGCGATGCCATCTGGGGTGAGGGCACTGAGCCCAGCCCCACGGGGTTCCCTGCTTGCTGGCATGCAGAGCTTTCTAGGGCTGAACGCATGTAAATGTGTCAGCATTGCTGCATGCGTGTATGTGTGTCAATGTTTGCCTATCTGAGTGGGGTTTTCTGTGGGAGCTGAGTCTGTGGGGCCACCTGTGTCTGTGTGTACACGTGTATGTGCTGTAGGTCTGTCGGTTTCTCTGCTTGCATGTATGAGTAAGTATTCCTGTGGGCACATGTGTGTGTTTCTGTGTGTTTGTGCACGCACATGTCTGTGTGTGCATGCGTGTGTCCATGTGTGCATATCCAAGTATATGCATTCTGAGAATTATGCACCTGTGTTTGAATATGTCCAGGGATGTATTTCTGTGGGTTCACCTGTACTCACACACGTGTCTCCGTGTTTGTTTACATGGAGGAGTATCATGTGTGTCCATGTGTCTGTGTAAATATAAGTGCCTGCACACACATGTGGAGTCTACACACGTGTCGTGAGAGAGCATATCTGACTGTATGCTTCTGGATGTGTGCACATATGTGTCAGAGGGAGGAAGGGGCATAGGTACGTCTCTTGGCTGTGTCTATGACAGTGGATCCGGACCCAGGGGGCACCCCAGGCTTGGCTATTCTTGTGAGAAGGTTCTTGTGGGTGTTGTGGGAAGGTATCTGGACGCCCCCTTCTCAGGTCCCTCCAGCTCTGGCTGCTCTGGGTCCAGCCATCCCCTCCTGCTTGGGAGAGTCTGGGGTACGAATGGGGTAAGGTAGGAGTCACCCAGGATGGCACAGTGGTTAAGACCTTGTGCCGTGAGCCCAGGCTAACTGGGCGTGGGTCCCTGCTCTACCACCGACTAACCACGTGCTCTTGGGCACATTGTATTGTTCCTCTGCTCCAGGTTTCCCCGTCTGTACGATGGGGACAAGAATAGAATTCTCCCTCCTGGGCCTGTTGTGAGGATTAAAGAAGTCAGCCTACGTGAAGTTCTTAGCAAAGCCTGACCTATTCATTTGGCCTATTCATTCCCAAGTGCCCACCACTGGGGCAGCAGCCTATGGGCAGGCCGGGCCAGTGCCTACACACATCCTGGGCCAGAGTGCCCAGAAAGCCCCACCCTTCCACTTCCCGCCTGCTGAGCTCAGCGCTTCCCAGGTCCCGCCACTGTCGTAGCCACATCTGGACCGGCTCCGCGCAGGGACCACAGTGGGGCGCCTCCGTGGCCATGGTTGGGGTTTCCACTGACTCAGCGCCTCTGGCTCTGAAGGCGGGAAATCTCAGGCCTGCTCCCCTGCCCCACGCCTCGGGGTTAGATGGGGCCATAGGGCGATGGCTCCACCATGTTTTTCCTACAGGAAGTCCCCCTCAAATCAGGGCGCTCTAGTTGCTCCCCTGCCCCTCCCATCCATTCCTACCACTCGTGACCTCTTGAACTCACTTCTCTGGAGCCCTCAGCCTTGGTGTGCAGAAATTGGCTGCTTGAAGGGGGACACCGTAGGAGGGTCCCCTTGATCACCTCCCTGCCTCTGGACAGAGCTGGACACCTTATCTGCTCCTTTCTCCTCCAAGTCCAGTCTCTCATCCAGCATCGCTTCCTTGGATCCTGAATATAAAGTGACTCCTCTGCGTCCCGGGTATATAAGCCTGAATCCCAGCCTCACCCCCTCACACGACCTCCCACCAGCGTTCACACTAATAAAGGTAACAACAGTGACTATTATTGAGCTCCTCCCTTGTGCCAGACTTGTAGTAAGCACTTTCACAGACTTGAACTCGTTTTCTGCTCACAACAACCCTGTGAGGTCTATACGTCCCATCCGATATTACAGATGAGAAAATGGTCACAGTTAAACAGTAAGTTCGAGGCCACAAAGACACTGGGATTTGAGCCTTCTAACCTGACGGAGTGAGGAGGACTAAGGGGACTCGTTTCTCTGGGAATGAGGCCAGGGCAGAAGGGGTTAACTTAGCGCCCCCGTGGGGGGCCCTGCCCCCCAGTTCAGACAGAAGAACAGACTAACTGGGAATGTTAGGCTGAGAAACTGGAAAAAGCGGACCAAGGAGGCTTGGACAGCAGCCACGTCACGGGTGCCACGGACCCGGGGAGGAGGGTCTCCCCGGCCCGCCCCCCTAGCCTTCTGGAGGCCCAGCCAGGGAAGGGGAAGGGGGTGGCACAGGGGAGGCCCTTCGTGCTCCAGGCTTGGCTCTTAAAGGGCCGGACTCCCCTCCCCTCCCCCCTCCTCTCTCCCCCTCCACCCCCCGCCTGCCGCTGGAGCCCCCTGCAGGCAGCTCCGGGCACGCTGGGTCCCGCCTGGCTCCCGCTCGCTCACCTGGGGGGAAACGGGAGGGGGCGGGCCCTGGAGCGAGGCCAGGCCAGGAGCGGGGCTGTGCATCGGCCGCCTCTGCCGCCTCTGCCGCCGCCGCTGGAGCCCCCTCCCGGCCCGCCCTCCCTCCTCCTGCTGGCGGGGCGGGTCCAGCTGTGTTCCATTAGCGGCCCTGGCAAGTCCCCAGCCCCCTGGAACCGCCCCCTCTTCCCCCACCCGGAGTGGCCGGCAGTCCCCGGCAGGCGCGCGCCGGCGGCATTCAGCCCCAAGAGCTCGGACCCGGGAAGCTGGGGACAGTCAGCCGGACAGAAGTAATCAAGAAGCCCCTGGAGGGCCTGAGGAACCAAGGCCCTGCTTCTCCTGTCTGGTTGCCCTGGGCCGCCTGGATTACTCAGGGAGGTGGGGGGCTCCCCAGCCACGGTAAGTGGGGGTGAGGTGGGCTGCCTCAGGGCTCTGGGCTGAAGGGCCCCTTCTGCCCCTGACTTGCTGTGTGACTTGGGGCAAGTGGCATCCCCTCTCTGGACCTCAGTTTCTGTGTCTATAACCGGATGAGCTCTAAACTCCAGCTCAGTTCTGACTCTCCCCGCCCCCAAATCTGTGCCTTTGTATTGGGGTGGGATCAGCTCCTCTCCTTCTGTCCCTGTGGCCCCACCACCCCTCGCTGGGGCCGGGGAAGTGGAGGCCAGAGATCCGGAGCAGGAAGGGAACACGAGCTCATGGATGTTCACGCCTCCACATGCATTCACATGCCTCCCACAGCTGGCAGCCCTTCCACTGACTGGCAGGACGGCGAGGCCGGGATAATGTCTGAGAGATAGGATGTGTGCCCCACTAGAATGGGGGACCAATAGGGTGAGGGAACAGTTCTACCCCAGGAAGAAGGGGATTGGGGTCCTATCTCCAAATATATGGAGAGGCGGGGGTCTTTCCTGCTCTCATTCCCTATCCAGGACCGAGGGAGGGGAAATAGAAATCCATTACAGCTGGAGGGAATGAGGTTGGACTTGCATAAGAACTTCCCGACAAGAAGGCCTACTGGAGGGGTAGTCATAGGCTGGCTGTGTGCACATGTGTATGTGCAAGCTGGTGTGTCTGGGTATATCGGTGAATACGGGTCTCTGTGAGCATGCCTGTGTGCAGGTAGGTTTGTATGCACACACTGGCATGAATGCGTCTGTGTGCATATGCGCCTGTGTGTCTGTGTGTGTCCTCCCAACACACGCATGACTCTGTGTGTGCGCGCGCGCGAGCTGCCTGTCTCTAGGGAGGCCGGATGATGTATGGCTCTGCTGGCCGCTTCTGAGTCCGCATTGATTTATCTGGGCCCATCCATCAGGGTTTAATAAAACTAAAAGACGAGCATCCATCAGCAGGGGAGGTTGGCAACAGGGTCCTGAGCCTCGGTGACCTGCTTTCCCGCCCGCTGTACCCATGGGGGAACCTTCCTTGGCCCACACACAACAACGCTGTGATGCCTGCCAGGAGACTCAGCCCGGCCGTCAGCCCCTGACATTGTGGGTGCCTGGCAGGGCCACCTGGCTGAGCTGGGTGCAGCTGGCCATGTATATCAATACAGTGCACGGGTTGATAAAATATTGAAATCCTTCTGTGTGTCTTGGTAAATAGCCCCTGTTGAGCCTATCCCTCGGGCCCCTCACTATCCCAGTTGACCTGGCCTTCTAGGGCACTGTAGCTCTCTCCTCAATGGAGCAACTATTCCCTGGCACAGCTGGATGCCGCCTGGACCCTATTTCAGTGCTCCAGCCAGCATTCTGCTCTGGCTGGTCAGTGTCCGTGCCATACCGGTGGTTAAATATTTTGAATATCACTCCGGCCCAAATCCTAGCTCAGGGCCTGTGGTTGGGCCTCTGAGAAGGACTGACGCCTGGCCAGACCTCCTGCCTCCCCAGTACCAGCGCCTGGGCCCCAGGGCTGGCTGCTCCTTGCCCACGTGTGTGCTTGTGCCGTGTGGGCGCAGGAATCCACCTTCCTGGTCTCTGTGGTTTTCAGGTGCTGCAGCTGTGGCTAATCTCTCTGGACCAGGATGTGGGCATCTTGGGCTCCTGGCCTGTGGCTGCTTGGTCTCTGGGCCACCTGCAGCCGTGGAACAGATACAGGTGAGATGACACAGGAGGATCAGGGTACCATAGGCCTATGACTGGCTCCCTGTCGTGCCGGGGTCCTGTGCACATATGTGACTGTGCTCCTGGGCCAGGTGTCCATTTATAGGAGAGCCTGGGAGCCGGGCTTAGGGTGGCCTGGGGTGTTTGCACATGCAGCCTGTGTGAGGTGAGCTAGAGTGTGTGTGTTTCTGTCTGCCTGTTTGTGTGTCTCTGGGCCTCTCTGTGTTTGTGTCTGAGTCACTCTGTGCATCTGTCCATATTCCTGTGTCTCTGTGTGTGAGAGAACTACCCCCCTCCCCAATCCGGAAACCCAGCCTGTGCACAAAGTGCTGATAGGGCCGGTGGGGTGAGGAGGAGCAGAGGGTGAACTCTCCCTGCAGAAGGAAGCCACATCCTGAAAGAGCCCAGGCCCCTCCAGTCCTTTCCATGGTGGAGAATCCATCCTCCAGCCCACGTGCTCCTCCTCCTCCGTGGCTGGCCCTGGAGCTCAGATAAAGGGCCCGCCTCGAGGCCCAGACGCTGGATGGGACAGAGGGTGCAGCTTTCCAGGGCCCAAAGCCAGAGGAAGTTGACTGGGCAGCTTGCCCTGCCCTGCTGGGTGCCCTCTGGGCTTGGTGGCTCAGCCGCCTGGCTGAGCAGAAATAGAACTCCTAGGACCCAAATCCAGCTGGAGGAGGCAGAAAAACTAAGGTGCAGATGTGAGAGGGGTATGCACCCGGGGTCATGTGACTGGCTGCAGGGTGTGTGTACATATGTGTTTCTGCATGTGTGCACGTGTGCCTGGCTCTCCTCTCCCTCACCGGGTCCCCTGGGGGATGGGGCAGAGAATTTCAACATCTGTAAGGAATCTGGGCCCGTTGCCAAGGGGTGAGTCACCCATTGCTGCTGCCGATGCTCAAGACAGTGATAGTCTTTCTGCCCAGACCTGGGGGAGGGAGACTCCAGTCGGTTCACCGGGCCGAGGGATCCAGGATTCCTTGTTCCGGTCAGGCAGCCAGGGAGTTCACTGCCCTCCTTCTAGGAGCCGTATTCACTGTCTTGTCCCAGCCACCCCATCTGCGTTGGTGGGAAGGCCTTTGGGATCCTAGGCTCTATCTCTCTCTCCTGGTGTAGCACCTCTCTCAACACTTCTGCTCAGTCAGCCCTAGGGAGGAGGCAGGTCCATGGCTGCCCATCTGTCCCTTCACGGTTTTAGAGACCTGAATTAAGCTATTCTCTTCTCCAGGAGCCTTTACCCCCTTAATATATCCTGTCTAGAGTTCCAAGGCCCTGGTAGTTCCCTTGAGCTTGTGGTCTCCTCAGACCCCCAGTTTCTTCTCACTGTTTCACAAGTGGTTATCCAGGTGAAAAGTCAATGTGTTGGCTCAGACTTGTGTCTGGCCTGCGTGTCTGCACACAGGAAGTGGAACCCTACCTGTTGTTGAGAACATTTGCACCAGCTGCACGTGGTGTCCCTGGTGGCACGAGCATCCACAACTCATGCATGTGCAGACACGCACACACACTTGTATATGACACCAGTGTGTGAACCTGACTTTCCTTACCCCTAAAGTGCTCCTCTGCCCTCCTTGGGTGTATGTCTATACATAGCTCCTCGCCCCATCTGAGCTCTAGGGCTGCCAGAGTTTCTTTCATTTCCTCTCTTGCTGGCCTCGCCCCTGACTTGGGGCCTTGGGGGTCTTAGGTTCTAGGAGTTCTGGTCCTGCTCTGCTGTGAACTCACTTAGTAGCCTTGGGCCAGGCCTCAGTCTCTGGCCTCAGTCTTCCCATCTGTGGACTAGGCGTCCTCCTGGCTGCCAGGGTAGCCAGGGTCAGAAGGCAAAAGGTGACAGCAGCTCCAAGGCAGGGCCTGACTGAAAGTCCAGAGTGGGGACTATAAAGTTGCTCCTTCCCAGGGCCCCCAAGAGCTTGGCTGCCTCAGCCTGAGCCCACCGAATGCCCCACTGCCAATTCTCTTCCAGGTGGGCAGTGCCCGCCTTCACAGCAAGAAGGGCTCAAGTTGGAATACAGAAGCGACTTATCGACCAACGTGACTGGTGAGTGCCAGTCTCATCCTGCTGTCCCCCTCCACCGTTTTTCTGGAGTGGCCTGTGTCACTCCTCAGCCGCCCAGCTGAGCTCTTCATCTGGTGTCTCCCCCGAAGGCTTCAACCTCATCCACCGACTCAACCTCCTGAAGACATCTGCCATCAAGAAGATCCGCAACCCCAAGGGGCCCCTCGTCCTGCGACTGGGGGCGACCGCCCTCACCCAGCCCACACGGTAATGGTCCCAGGCTGACTGCTGGAAATCAATCCTGACCTCGGCCACACCGTCCAGCAACTCTGGAAGGGGAGCCTAAGCCCAGGGGCCCCTGTGGGTCATTTTACCCAGCCCCCTGCCGGGAGTCAACCTGGTCTCCACTTCTGGGGCTTGCAGAGTGGGCAGAGAGGAGGTGCCTGGCAGACCCTACCTCTGTCCCTCCCATCTGGCTGGCAGTGGGTGGCAACAGGTCTGCATCCTATGGGCACCATTGAGGACCCCAGGATTGGGATGGGAACCTGGCAAGAGTTGCATGTGTGCAGGCATGCACGTGCCAGCGTGTGAAATCCAAACTCCTGCAAGTCCTGGGTGGTCTTGCCCCGGCTTACCTCTCCAGCCTCACCTCCCACATGTTCCTCCTTCTTTCCTGCTACTCTGGTTGTGCTGACCCCTCTTCATCTTGTTTCAGTATCTCTGCTCCTAACCCAGGCCCGGTTATCCTCCCCAGGGCATCCTGGAGTCCTTGGAAGCACAGTTACCACAATTGTAATGAAATGGGGAAATAGTCATTCTGGGGCTTGTTTATGGTCTTATCTCCCCACACCGGGAGGGCTCCCCATCTCTGTTTTCACCTTGTTATCCCCAGCAGTCAGGCCCACACCGGCACCGAGTAGGCACTCAGTGGATGTCTGTAGAATGAATGGATATGTATGTGTGTGTTGGTTTGGAAGTGGGGGCCTGCATGTCTCGTGTAGGTTCAACAGTCCTGAGGGCCCAGGGTGGGCAGCTGGTGGGCTCCCACCTGAGCCCCAGGAGCCCTCCCTGCTCTATTCACAGACGAGTATTCCCTCGGGGCCTCCCCGATGAGTTTGCCCTGGTGCTGACGCTGTTGCTGAAGAAACACACTCACCAGAGCACGTGGTATTTATTTCAAGTGACCGATGGAGATGGGTACCCACAGGTGAGCCCCCCCCCACCCCTCTTGCTCTTGGTGATGGAGCAGTACCCATCCAGCCCAACTACTACCCCAGCCTGTGATGTCTGGGGCCTCCCAGCTCCATCCCATGCCCAGCCTCGGGGCCACCCCATCTCCACCAGCACCTATCCCATTCTTTCAGGATGTACTGGTTTGTGACCCCAGTCAGCTTTCTTCCCTTTCTGGGCCTCAGTTTCCCCTCCTGTAAAATGAACTTGAGGGCCCTTAACTTTACCCCGCTTTGACTCTGGGGCTCTGATTCTCTGTCCCATTCCTTTCCCAATTCCACACAGATTTCCCTGGAAGTCAATAGCCGAGAGCGGAGCCTGGAGCTCCGGGCCCGGGGCCAAGATGGCGACTTTGTGTCCTGCGTCTTCCCAGTGCCCCAGCTCTTCGACCTGCGTTGGCACAAGCTGGTGCTGAGTGTGGCGGAACGCGTGGCCTCTGTGCATATAGACTGCACCTCAGCCTCCTCCCAGCCCCTGGGGCTCCGGCGACCCGTGCAGCCCGTGGGCCATGTCTTTCTGGGCTTGGATTCTGAGCAGGGCAAACCTGTATTGGTGAGTGTGAGTTCGGGCTCTGGACTCAGCTCCCACCTTCTGGAAGCCTGAGTGAGCTCCCCGGAATCTGTATCTGACTGGGTCCTTCCCTTGTTCAGAGTCCTCTCGTGGTTCCCCACTGCCCTCCATGATGGAGCCTAAACATATTACCCTGGCGGTCAGGGCCCTTCGTGATCTGATTCCTATAAATGTCTGTAGCGTGGTCTTCCTTTCCATCTGTCCAGGCAGCTCTGCTCTGGTCGATTCCATCCCCGTCATCCATTTCACCTGGTCCTTTCACACCTCCATGCCTTTGCCTATGCTGTTACCTCCACCTGGAATGCTTTTCCTTGCAGCCCTCTCTGCTGAATATCTACTGGTCCTTCAAGGCCCAGCTTGAATGGAACCTCCTCCTCCCCGTTCCTCTTTCTCCCTCCTCTCCCTCTTTCCTGCACTTGCAGTTTTGTTTTGCCTTTGGTGACAGCTATATTCCTGATGGTCTCCCAGGCCAGACTGGAACCTTCTGAGGGCAAATCCTGGGGCGGAGCTGTCTCTGTGCCTCGTTAGGGGCCAGGACCTGGAGCTATTTGATAAAAGCAAGTGAAACTGACTTGCGTGTCCCCCGCAGTTTGACCTTCAGCAGGCGCACATCTACTGTGACCCAGAGCTCGTGCTGGAGGAGGGCTGCTGCGAGATCGTACCGGGCGGGGTGAGTGACCCAGCCCCTGCACAGCTGGGAGGGTTTGGGACACTGCCCAGGGACACAGTGTGCTGGACATGGGGGGTCAGGGAGGGGATGCCTAGAGATCCTAAGATGAGTGGGTGAGGAGGGGGTCTGCCTTCCCTACTGACCCCAGCCCTTCCCCAACACCGGGCAGTGTCCCCAGGAGACCTCCAAGGCCCGCAGGGACACCCAGAACAATGAGCTCATCGAGATCAATCCACAGACAGAGGGCAAGGTCTACACCCGCTGCTTCTGCCTGGAGGAGCCTCAAAGCAGCAAGGTGGGTGGGCAAGACAGGTAGACACAGACACGGGCAGGCGCAGGTGTCAGACTACCCCTCTCAGTCTGCCACCAGGGTCAGCTGTGCCCGGGGTGGGCGGGGGCACTGGAAGCCCCACCTATTTGTGTGCCATTCCTAGAGGACTCAGGGAGGCAGGCAGCCCATGGGTGACCCTGTGCCCATCTGCCTTTTGGCATGAGGGGTTGTGCCCATCCAGTTCTGCCACAACCCAGACCCTCATTAATACCGCCCCAGACCCTTCTGGTGAGGGCAGGACCAGGCATGCACCCACAGGCAGTTTCTCCAGGGCAGGGATGCCTGGGGTCAGAGGCCAGGCCACACTGCCTGCCTCGGGGCTTGCTCACTCTCCTGGGCCCAGCCCTGGCCAATGCCAGTCTGGTTCTACACCCAGCACCATGGCCAGCTGCCCTGCTGGCTCTCAGGTTCCATAAGGTGGCAGGAAGGCCCAGTTCCTCCCTTGGCCCCACCCCCTTTCTGGGCAGTCTCCCTGCCCACCCGGGCGTCACGCCCAGCCTTGGCTGCAGAAACACAGGATCCCATTGATTCATGGTCTTGTTTTCTCCGACATCACGTGGGTGGGGGGAAGAGGAGGGCGCCAGGAGGGGTGCCAGGGGCCTGAGCAGGCTCTTGATGCCCTGGGAGGTGCCAGATGTTAGACTCCCAGGTACCTGGGGTCCAAACCCCTGCCTGATGCCCTCTCCCAGTGTGGGCTCTAGAACTGCCCCTTCCTCAAGAGTTCCCCTTTATTCTGTCTGCACAGGTGGATACCCATCTGACAGGAAGAATCAGCCAGAAGGCAGAAAGGGGAACCCAGGTAGAGGTGGTGGGTGGGTGGAGGAGTCCACAGTGCGCTCAGTCTGCCCTCCACGCCCTCTGTAAACCCCTTGAGTAAGAGACTTGACTGCCTTGCTCTTCCCGCCTGCCCCACTCCTGGACAGAGCATAGCGTATGTAGGCGCCAGCTCTGAGAAGGAAGGATGAGTTGGGGTGAGACAGACACACTGCCTGGCACTATCTGGGGCACCCGCTCCTGGTGGTTCTTGGGTAGGGGTGCGGAAGCAGGGCTCCACACCCTCTGTTCCCTGCCCGTCCCCATGCCCTCCCTCTTCGCAGGCCCATCGGGAGACAGAAGCCCATGAGGTAAGCCTCCCATCTAGACAGGCAAAGAGAGCTTGGTTGTGGAGGTGCCAGCGTGAACCCTTTGACCAAGGCTTTGGGGTGCTGGAGCCTAGGCATGGGGGTGCAGGATGACACACAGCTCCCAGCATTCCTGGGTGGGGGCCCTGTCTTCCCCCACCTCTCCTTGGGAGAAAAGGTTTAGCTCAGGACACTCTTACTGAGTTGGCAGCAAATGGCCATGGGCATTATGGGGAGAGCCCAGACCTTGGCCACGGGATCCTGGATTCTGGGCCTTACTCTGCCCTGACATGCTGTGTGACCCAGAGCCCACTGCTGTTCCTTTCTGGGCTTCAGTTTCCTTGGCTGAGAAATGGTTTGGCTCTGGGTTGGTGGGACTTGAGGGGCAAGTCTTGTTTGATAGAATTCCTATCTTCATGCTCCCTCAGACTCCCCCCAGGACACATGTGATGTTCTGTGTGCTTAGTGTGTGTATGGGGGGGAATGGGGTGGAGAGGGCTGGTCCCGGGCTCTCAGAACTGACCTCCCGGCCCGTTCTTCCCTTTCAGTGCCCACCTTGTGTCCCTGGTGCCCAGGAGAGCAATGTGAGTGAATAGAGGGTGTGCAGGGCCGGGTAGGCGGGTGCTGGGAGGGGTGTTGCTAGAGGTCAGCTTGGCAGCTTCCTGGTTGAGGACAAGGGGGTCTTTGTGCAGTTTCACACTCCCTCCCTGCTCCTCCCTGGAGCTGGGCTTGACTCCCACCCCCATCTTGGCCAAGCCAGGGCTGCGTGGAAGGAAGCTGCACACCCTGTGATCTGGGCAGTGTATTGGGATCCAGGGTGGAATGGGGACAGGGTGGGGGCCAGCGGGATCGGGACCTTGGTCGCTGATCCCAGCTTTGTGCACCCCACAGGGACTCAGGCCTGCTCTGTTTGAAGGCTTCCCATGTCATCTAGGAGGCCTAGAGAAGGGGAAGGGCTGGATCAGGGTGACTCAGCCCAGTGCTGGCCCCCAAAACACATGTTGGCTCAGGGCCTCCCATCCTATCCCTCTCTAGCTGGCCTGGCCCAGCCTCCCTCTGGTGGTCCAGAAGGACAAGGGAGAGAGGCTCAGTGTGAGCCCAGCTGGTATCCAACTGTGCCTCTTCTGTGGGCAGCGAGTCACCGCTTTCCCATGGCCTGACATTCTGAGTTGACGTGCCCTATTGGTCCGCAAAGGACACAGCCCGGCTCCCCTCAGCCCCAAGCCTCTGACCTTGGGGGACATCAGGAAGTACCCCTTGTGCTGCTTGCCCGTCTTGCCGTCCAGACCCCCAACCAAGCTCTTAAGGCTGATAGTTCCCAGATGTGCATGGGGTTACCATGGCAACTGAGCAGCCATGTTATTCTTGCAAGAGGCAGGTGGGGGTAGGGGGTGGGGGTAGGGGATAGCCAAAGCCAGGTAGGTTCGAGAGGGTAGGTTAGACCCCTCTGCAAGTTTAACAGCCTTAGGATATGAAGTCAGCCTGCTGGTTGGCCTAGGAGGCAGAGCAGGGCCTGGAATTCAGGCTGATGGTCTTGCCACCATGCTGTGTGACCCTGGCTAAATTGCTTGCTCTCTCTGGGCCCTGGTTTCCTCTCCCTCCCTGAGGTATAATGCTCTCTCCTCTGTCCCCTCAGGTCACAATTGGTCCCTCTGGACCCAAGGTGAGTCCAGATGGAGAACAGGACACTCCTGCCCTCTTTGGTGGCCTCAGCCCACCCCATAGCATGTGAGCCCATGGCTGTGTGTTTATATCAGGGCTACTTAGCCTGTCTGTGTGTTTGTGGGGTGATTAGGTAGGTGTTGGAGACAGTAGCGGGTTGTGGGTATACAAGAATGTCCAGAACGGTCTTTCCTGAGGCCCTACTGCACATCAGGACCTGGGCCCCGTGTGCACGTGTGTCACCTTCCTGAACCCTCTCAAACGTCTGTGGGGTGGGTACTCTCATTTTACTTCAGGGAAATCTGGGACCCAGCTGTGCCCATGTGTGTGACTGGGTATGTCAGAATGAGCGTGTGTGGGTGTGCCTCCCTGCGTCTCTTGGACACGTGTTTGCATGTGTGTGGCCCACTGTGGTGGGGGGTGAGCCCATATGCCTGTGAACCTGACAGGACGGCCGAGCTTGTGAGTGTCAGGGCAGACAGCACACGTGCGAGTGTGACATTGTGTGCTTGTGTGTGCCCATGAGCATATAATGTGATTCCTGGGGCCACTTTCATGTGAGTGCTGACTGCGTGCCCGGCTCCGTGCCGAGCACATCACATGTCTTCCTCACCATGACCCCTTGAGGTAGGTGCTAATGTGAATCCCATTTTACTGATGGGGAAACGGAGGCTCAGAGAGGGCGTGTGAGTTGCCCTGGGTCACACGCTAGTAAGGGGTGGAAGTGGGATTTGAATTCAGGCAGCTGACGCTCACCGTCGTGGGTTCCTGTCTCTCCGCATGTGTGTGTCCATGCACGTGTGTCCCTGCGCCCCTGGGAGTGCTGTGTGTGAGCTAGCGTGCTTGGGTAGGGGTGTAGGGGAAGAGACACCCTCTGCGTGAGACTATAGATTTGCCAAATATAGCCTTTCAGGGTGGGAGGGACATGTAGAGGAATGCGTATGGAATCCATATGCTGTGTGCGTGCGTCGGGGAGTGGGGCAGGGGGGCGGCTGGGGCAGCGCTGTGCTCATTTACACCCATGTGTGGTGCATGGGTGGAGAAGACCGGAGTGAGGAGAGCTTCCTCGAGGCTCCCATGTGGCCCCTCTGGTCCCAGCCCTTGTTTTGGTCTCATCCACAGGGAGGGAAAGGTGAGCGGGGCCTGCCTGGTCCATCAGGATCCAAGGGAGAGAAGGGAGCCCGGGTAAGTGCCCCAGCCACGCCCACTGCAGGACCCTTCCCAGCTGTACCCTGGGGGTGGGCTGGGATGTGAGCCATCACCCCATCATCTCAGCTGGAAACCTGCAGCCTGGGGGCTGAGGGCCAGGGTCTTTCTAGGGGTTACTGTGTGGACACCTCTGTTTCCTAGGGGCCCATCCTCCTCAAAACAGGGCCCCACTTCTGACCCCTCGGTCCCTCCCTGCAGGGCAATGACTGTGTCCGAATCTCCCCGGATGCCCCACTTCAGGTAAGACCTGGAGGCGAGGCCTGCTTCAGGGCCCATATGGGGGTCAGCCTCTGGGGAAGGGGCTGTGCCCTCGGCAGCCCATGGGGTGACCCTGGGCCCCTCTCAACACCTGTCTCCCTGCTCAGTGTGCAGAAGGCCCGAAGGGAGAGAAGGGGGAGGCAGGAGCCTTGGTGAGTGTGGGACCAGGGATAGGGCAGGGAGGGGGGTCCTGACCTGGCCTCCCTCTCCTGTCCTCACCTTTTCTTTTGTGTCCCCTCCTCATCTTAGGGACCCTCAGGACACCCAGGCTCCACAGGCCAGAAGGTAATGGGCTTGGATTTCAAGGAGTGGGTGCCAGGGAGGTCTGTGGGTCCCACAGACCTGAGGAGGGAGGGGTCCAGAGTCTTCCTAGAGGATGGCGTTGTTGGACACAGAGCTGGCAGTACCCTCCCAGTTCTTCTGCCTTATCCAAATCCCCGTTAGACCTGGAAAGAAATGCCAGTGAAAGTGAGTGGCCTAGCTGGTTGGGAAGTTCTTCCTGTTGTCTACCCTCGCATGGAGACCGAACCCCTTCCATCTCAGGGGAGGCAGAGACCAGGGGTTGAGAAGGCAATGTCCCTCCCCAAGATGGAGCTGCCCTGGTTCTTTCAGCCCCTTCCCTCAACCCCAGTCACTTTGCCTCTTCCTTCTTCAGGGCCAGAAAGGCGAGAAGGGAGACGAAGGCATCAAGGGCTTGCCGGGGAAGCCAGGCCGAGATGTACGGTGCTTGGGACCCTTCCCCACGAGAACCCCACATCCCTCAGCATGGGATGGTGAACCCGCTACCCTTGCTCAGGAGAACAGACACCCGAGAGGGGAGGGGCTGTGCAGGGGCTCCTTGTCAGGAGGCATAGAAAGGACTTGAACCCAGGCCTCCTGGCTCCCAGCTGAAGAGCCCTGACCTCTGTCACCCTGAGGTTGACATTTGATGACCTTGGGGCACTGGGTGGGGTCTAGCTTTCGAGAGGGGCAGTGAGGGTGGACAGGTGTGTATGTACCCCTCCCAGCGTGGGCTGCTGCCCCAGGGAGGTGCCAGGCCTGGGCCCTTCTTACCCTCTCCCCCTACCCGACAGGGCCGGCCAGGGGAGATCTGCGTCATGGGGCCCAAAGGGCAGAAGGTGAGTTGTGAGTGTCTGTGGGGTGGAGAGTGGGTGATAGGGCTGAGGCGGGGCTGCTGTCTCACGCCCACCTCATATCTTTGCCAGGGAGACCCTGGCTTTGTTGGGCCTGAGGGGCTGGCAGGGGAACCTGGACCCCCCGGCCTCCCTGGGCCCCCTGGGAGAGGACTTCCTGGGACCCCGGTGAGTACTCCTTGCCCCTCCTGCCATCCTTTCCACAGAGAGCCTTCCCCCGCCTGACCAGGGATTGGGGAGATGAGGCTCCGTCCCAGGGGTCCTGGTTGGGGGAAGGGGCTCAAGTCCATCTCACTGTACTGCGGGCCCCTGGGAAGCCTCCACTTGACCTGGTTTCTGCCCTCAGGGGGACCCAGGTGGCCCTGCAGGCCCTAAGGGAGACAAGGTAAGCACAGGCAGGAGTGTGGGCACGTGGGGATACCTCTGCTGGGTGGGAGGAGAGAGGAGAATGGGGGCGGGGGAAGCTGGGGTAGCGGGCCTGTGTGGGGAAGAGGCTAGGCCTGAGGAGGCTGGCCTTGGCCCAGCCAGGCCCCTTGGGGGGAGTGTCCCATCCCAGTGCTAGCTGACATGGGAACCTTGGCCTGGGTTCCAAGAATGGGGAGGGGCAAGCCTGTCTAGTAACAACCACAGTCGCTTTAACTGGAGGGCCCAAGCCCATTTTAGGGCCTTGTGCCTTGATGAGTGGAAAGCCCTGGCAATGTCTGTCTGTCTGCTGTGGCTCCTCTGGGGTCACCCAGATTCCTCCCAACCCACTACACTGGGGAAGGTGTATGCAGAGGCCTCATGTCCTCCCTTCCTTTGCAACCAGAAGCACTCAGCTTAGGCGTGGAGAAGGATAGGCTGCAAGAAGGGGCTATTTGTTGACCAGACAGACCAAGAGAAGATTGGAGCTTTGGCAGAGATTGTCCTGCCATCCAGAGAGGGGACTGGATGGGGAGGGGGTGGTGGGCTGAGGGCCCAGCCAGGAGCCTCCCCCTTAACCCTTCTTCTGACCGCAGGGCAGCTCCGGGGCACCAGGAAAGGAAGGTCCTGGTGGGAAACCTGTGAGTGACCCCAATCTCGTGGGGGTGGGGGGTTGCCACCCACCATGCCCAGGTCTGCTCTCTCAAGGCCTCCGGAGGGAGGGGGGCTGGGTCCTTGGGCCCTCTCTTGGCACACCACTCTGTCTGCCTTGAACTAATACCATCGCTTCTTCTCCAACAGGGGAAGCCTGGGGTGCCAGGGCTGAAGGGAGAGAAGGTGAGGCCCAGGCCTGGTTGCCCCAGCTTGGGTTGGGGGTGGGAGCCCCTCTTTGAAGGTGATACTGAGCATCAGGGGCCCTGGGCACAGGCGGCTGGACCTTCCTCAGGAGACCCCCACCCCTTCTTTGTCCCTAGGATGTACATATGTGATTACTAAATAAAGAGCCTGGCTTGGCAGTGACACAGCTGGGTTCAAATTCCGCCTCGGCCACCCATGTGATTTATGAAGGCAGCAGATCGATTAGCTTCTCTCTTTGCTGGAGTTTCCACATCTGTAGATGAGACACAATCATTTCTTACGGCTTGTTGTGAGGTCATTTTGCGATGTCCAGGAATCTCAATTTGAATGAATGAGTCCATTGAACAGACAGCCCCTCCAGGGTTCCTACTGTCCACTTTGATGTTGGGGATAGGGCACTGGCCCACCCAATGTCTAGAGGTCCTTGCCTTTGCGGGGTCTCAGCCCCACCTTGTCTACTCATGGTCTCTCCCTTCTGCTAGGGTGACCCCTGTGAAGTGTGCCCAACGCTGCCTGAAGGGTTCCAGAACTTCATGGGCCTCCCTGGAAAGCCAGGCCCCAAGGGGGAACCGGGTGATCCTGCACCAGCCAGGGTGAGTGCCCAGGGTGGCCATTAACCAACTGCACAAAAAAACTGGGGGCTTGATCATAGAGACGACTGGGCAGAGGGACTGTGTAATTCTCACAGCCGTAGAGAGATTGTGGGCAGAGGGTCTAGGCTCTTAGCTCCTTGGGAGGGTAGGAACAGGTTGCTGAACCATAGAGTTTAGGGCTGGGCTAGAAGGCCACCCCAGGTCTCCATGGCAACCTCCCATGGTTCTTGAACAGAGGCTAAGATGCCTTTTGGGCAAGCTGGGGTAGAGCCAACCCTTATAGTGAGCGAGGCTGTGCCCTCCAGGGACTGGGTGTTGGTTGGGGGTGGAGGAAAGGAGTGGGCAGGGCTAGGTTAGGGTCCATGCCTGGACTTCCCACCCTTCTCCCTCACAGACCCTTTCTTTTAGGAGGTCCTGGGAGCTGCTGGACAAAAAGGTGATCGGGTATGTATACGAACTTTCCTGTGGGGCAGCGTAGCCTGGCTTCACTGCCTCCATATGTTCCATGAATTGATAAGCCCTGGCACTGGGATGCTGACCTTGAACCTCCTGGGACCCCTGGGCATTGGAAGGTTTTGTGATGTGTGACGTTGCTGTCCTCATATATGGCTAGGAAGTTTGGGGTACCTCAAAATGCCTAGCCTCAGCCCATAAACCTCTTCTCCCTGCAGGGAGACCCTGGCATCCAAGGCCTCAAAGGAGAGAAGGTGAGGGAGCCCCGGTCCCCTGGCTGCCCCCCTCTGACTACTGGGAGCCTTTCTGATCCCTTCTCTTCCTTTCCCAGGGGGAGTCCTGCCTGTCCTGCAGCTTAGCTGTAGGGGCCCAGCATCTTGAGCCCTCTACAGGGGCCAAAGGAGACGTGGCCTCCCCTGGCTTCGGTTTGCCAGGCCTTCCGGTGAGTGGCCGCTTCCTCCTAGCCCAGTCCAGTCCAGCCCATCCTTGCCACACTGGTGGCCTCCCTGGCTCCTTAGGCCCGACTCTCAAGGCAGAGACCAGGAGGGAGGCCCTGAGGCAGATGTCCCAGGCATGCAGCCTGGTCCTTCCCTCCAACCCTGCACTGCCCCAGGTTGCTTGTCCTGGGACTTCCTCTTAGAACCTCCAAGTGCCCAGCTGTGTAACAGAAGTAACTGTCCAGCCACTCACAGGTTGTGGGATTCGGAATCCCGAGCTTGCTTTTCTCTTTCTGGGTAGACAGTGGGACCCATGGGGTTTTGGAAGGGTGGGAATGGGGAGATGCTGTGACTGTGACTTGATTATTTTTCAGGGGAAAGTTGGGGCTCCGGGGCCAACAGGGCTAAAAGGAGAGAAGGTGAGATCTGGGTTACGTGTCAGGCACACCGGGGCTTCTTGGCAGGGAGGCAGGGAAAGGGGGGCCCTGGGCAGCAAATATAGATAAGAGATCAAACTGCACCTCCACAGGAAATACATTCATCAGTGTTCTACAGACTGGAGTCAAGGAATTTATTTCTGAGAGCCCTCATGTTCTCCAAGAGAATCCTTTAGTTTTATATTTTTAATTTATTGATAATCTAAAACAATTAAGCACATTCGAGACAACCTTATAATAAAATAATAATATTTAGCACTCTTTACCACTCATGTGCCAGGCACTGTTCCAAGTACACATATTAACTTGTTTCATCCTCCCAAAGCCTTATGGGGTAGGTACTCCATTATTCCCGTTTTTACGGATGAGGAAACAGAGGCACCAAAAGGCCAAGTAAATTGCCCAAAGTCACACAGGTGTTTTGGTGCTGAACTGGGATTTGAGCCCAGGAAGTCTAGCTCCAGAGTGTGTAATCAGTACTTGGCTGGGTCACTCGATTTCAGTGCCCTTGTTCACATTTGTATTGATGATTGCATTGGAGACAAATGACAGCATTGAACTTATAATGTAGTGCGACTCAGATGAGGGGTTCTGTGGGTACATGGACGTTCAGGTGTGAAAAACACTGAAATTAGTGTTCAGACCCAGCTCTGCCAGGTAAACCACACCTGTCATTTCTCAAATGGAGCTTTGCCACGCTGCCTCACACCTGCTCCCTCTTCCAGGCTTCTCTGTCTCCGTGAAGGGCATCTACCCAGCTCCTCAGACCCCAAACCCAGTGTCATCCTTGATCCCTCCCTTTCCCTCATCAGCTCCTCCATCTGACAGTTCTGCCAACAGCATCTTTCAACTCCCGCTGCTTCTTTCCACCTCCACAACTCACCTTAGTCTTGGTCCCCATCATCTCTCACCTGGACGGTGTTGGCAGCCCCTGTCTGGCCTGCCTGCAGCCGCTGCACCTCTTCAGCAGTCCATTTGTCGTCCAGTGGCTAACGTGACTTTGTAAGGAGAACTCAGGGTACCATTATCTCCCTGCTTAAAATCCTTCCATGACTTGTCTTTGTGCCAAAGTCCTGCTCTGCCTGACAAGACCCTGGATGACCAGCCCTGCTGCCTTGTCAGTTTCATCTGGTTCTTCTCTCTCCGTTTCCTGTACTGTGGTTGTACCGCCCTCCTTCCATTCTGGATCCTGCCAAGATTCTTCCCACCTCTTAGATTTGTGCTTGTGGCTCCCACTGTCTAGAACGTTTTCCTCTCTGCCCTCCCCCGTTCCTTCACTGCTGGCCTTAGAGTCATCTTTCTGATCATTGTCATTGATACTTCTCTGAGCACCCTGTCTCTGAAATGACCTCCCCTGCTTCCTTTGTCTCATCACCTTGTTTATTTCCTTCATAACACTCATCATAATTTACAGTGACTGTTATTTAAAAAGTTCCCGTTGGCCCCACAAGTGCGTAAGCTCCGCAGGGCTTGTCTGTGCTGTTCACTGTTACATACCAGCACCTCGCCCAGCACATAGCGCATATGGACAGCCAGGAATAGCTGCTGGATAAACAAATTAATGATCTCTGTGTGCTGGGTCAGGCCTGAGGGTGGGGCTGGGAGTCTGTGAAGGGAGGCTGGGGGCGGAAAGAGGCTGGCCGTAGACTCCTGTGGGGACCTTGGGGAAATCCCTTTCCCTCTCTGGGCCTCAGTTTCCCTAGCTAGGAAATGAGGGAGTAGCCTAGAGGTCCCAAGGGGCTACTTTTCTAGCTTGGGGTTTGGGATTGACCTAGCTCTTCTCTGCCTCCCCTCTTGACCCTATTTTCTCTGCTCTGCTCTCAGGGTGATTTCGGGGAGGCAGGGCCAGCCGGCAGTGTGGTAAGTGTGCTTCAGATGGCGACAGCTCCCGGAGAAGGACAAGGTGGGAGGTGCTGCCTGCGCTGGGGAGATGATAGGCTTGGATTGTGCTCTGGCATGGCCCAGGCTGATGCCAGGCATCACACATGGCTTTTTATCATGTAGGGGCCCCCAGGGCCGGTGGGACCAGCAGGCATCAAAGGAGAGAAGGTGAGTCTGGGGACGTTCTCCACTCTGCAGCTGGGGTGAACTTCCTGAATACACCCTCCTTTCGCTCCACTTCAAACCCTTGAGGTTCCCCACTGCCTGAGGGTAACATCTGACCCCTTAGCAAGGCAGTCAAGACCCCTGATGACTTGGCCCCCACCTTCATCTCTTACCTGACCTCTCACGATCTTCCTGAGATATCCTTTGCCCAGAGCTGTGTCAGGCCGGCTACATTCCCCAGCCCCAGACTCCAAACCTGGCCTGGGGCCCTCTAACCTGTGTCCTTTCTCAACAGGGGGAGCCTTGTGAGCTGTGCCCAGCCCTGTCCGAGCCTCAGGATGGAGCCGGCCACATGGTGGCCTTGCCTGGCCCTCCTGGAGAGAAAGGAGAGCCTGGGCTTCCAGGCTTCGGTCTACCAGGAAAACAGGTAAGTTCCGAGGCCTCTGGCGCCGGGATGCAGGCAGGGCTCAGGAGACGGGAGGGACCCTGCCTGGGTGCCTTGGCTCCCTGGACAGTGGGGAGTAGGTGGGAGTGTGGAGGGGTCAGTGCCTCTGTCTCTGGCCTGACAGGCCTTTGCCTTTGTCCTGGGACACAGCCTGGCAGAGTGTGCAGAATGGGCACGACCGGCACAAGACGAACCTGGGTTCAAAATCCAGCTCTGCCTTTTACTTGAGCAAGTTCCTTTTGCTCTCTGTGCCTCTGTTTCCTGTGCGTGGTGTGTTGTAAAGCCCAGGAATGATGTGTGTGCAGCCCTTAGCAGCACACGCTAGGCATCCAGGAAATGACGGTCCCCACTGTGGTAATGATTATTATTACTGCTTCAGCAATAATAGCGAACACGAACAGAACGTGCACTGTGTGCCATGCAACACTTCGCTTCTGTTAGCTAATCTGTTCTCACGAGAACCCTAGAGGGTAGAAGCCTGTGCTATTTTTGTCATCCTCATTTGACAGATGAGGAAACTGAGGCACAGATAAGTAACTTGCCCACAGTCACCCAGGCAGGACTCTGGCTCAAGTCTCTTCTCTTAATCTATACAATATTGCTTCACTAGAACGAGAGCAGATTCTGGTCTGTTTTGTATACTGTTGTATTCCTGGGTCTAAGACAGTGCCAGACACTAAGGGGCATCTAGGACGAATGAATGGGTGCTGGAAAAGCTTTCTCCTCAGGGCAAGGCTGGAGAGCGTGGATTGAAGGGGCAGAAGGTGAGAGAACCTCGGTGGGCATGGGTGGGCACCACCTCCTCTCAGATGCCCTCCCCACCTCCTTTTCCTGATTCCTCTGTACCCACTCTCCACTCCCTGTCCAGTCTCCAGCCCCAGCGAAGGGCCATGAGTGCTTGCAGGTCCCAAGAGGGCAAGTTGTCCCTATCTGGGTCACCTCTGCCCTCCTTGAACCCTACTCCTTCTAGGGTGATGCTGGGAATCCAGGAGATCCTGGAACGCCGGGCAGCATGGGTCAGCCGGGACTGTCAGGAGAGCCTGGGGTTCGGGGCCCCACAGGGCCAAAAGGCGAAAAGGTCAGTCCGGTGGGGGCAGTTTGTTGCATGAGCAAAAAGAAATCAGGCTGAGAGCTAATGAGGGAGAGGACTGCGGAGTCAGGCTGCAAGCCTTACAGGATGTCAGAAACGCTGGGTGGAGGTGCCTCAGCTCTTCTCCGAGGCAGGGAGAAGAGCTAGGAGGGTCAGGGGCCTATTTTGATTTCCCAGGCTGAGGTGGGGCCAGTGGAGGGGCAGAGCTCTCAGAGGGGCACAAAGACCCCCTTTCCGATTCCTCCTCCTGGCCTTTGCCAGCCCTGGCTCACGGGCTCCTGGCTGTGCCCATCTCTGACCAGGGCGATGGCTGCACTGCCTGCCCCAGCCTGCAGGGGGCGTTGACCAACATTGCGGGACTGCCCGGGAAGCCTGGCCCCAAAGGAGAGCCGGGCCCTGAAGGTGTGGGCCGGCCTGGTAAACCGGTGAGTTCTGGCTGCCTGTCCTCTAGTCCTTCCCGACCTGGGCTTCTCTTTGCTCCCTCCTGCCCCCTTTCCCCTGGGGGACACATGGGCCACCTGTGTCTTTTAGGGCAAGCCTGGTCTACCAGGAGTTCAAGGGCCCCCAGGACTGAAGGGCACACAGGTATGTGTGAGTAGGGGGCCCTGGGCTGCAGGTATGTGTGGGTGAGGTTGAGGGTGGGGAGATACATGGGGGCAGTGAGCCTGGAGTGGGGACTGGGGATCAGCTATAGAGGGGGGAGAAGGCGGAGGTGGCAGAGGTTTAGGAGGAAGGGCTGGGGAAGTGGTGCAGAGTGAGTAGGAATCTCAAGCCAAGGATTGTCCTTCTGCCTCTTCAGGGAGAGCCTGGGCCTCCAGGAATGGGAGTCCAAGGGCCCGAGGTGAGTCTCCAGCCGTAACTTTGCCTACTTGCCCCCTAAAACTTCCATTAGCCGACTACTTACTCCCATATGCCCCCCAAACCACAGAGCTCTGCCTGCCCCTAGATGCTCAAGGGCTCAGCTTTGGGATAAGGGATTGGGCAGCATCCCTGGCCTGCTGTTGCTTCTGTTGGGGACCATATCTTTGATCCCCACCTCTTTGACCCTCATGTCTCCTTGGGGAGCTCTCCTGAGTTTGGGCTAGCAGATACCCCACCCCAGAGCAGGTCTGCCAGTGGGGTAGGTTGGCCTAGACAGTTGTGGCCCAGTCTGCCTTTTCTGACTTGCAGGGGGAGCCTGGAGCCCAGGGTTTGCCTGGCGTTCAGGTACGTCTGCTCGAGGAAGCTGGCAGGGGAAGGGGCCACTCTAGGACAGAGATAACTAACTGTGCTTCCATCTGCAGGGGCTTCCAGGACCTCGGGGACCACCTGGCCCCACTGGACAGAAGGGAGCCAAGGTGAGCCCCTTCCTCCTTGGGCACTAGGTCTGCAGTGCTGTGGTGCCCTGGCAGGAGGTGCAGGGGACATGGGAGCTGCGTGGTAGCCATCAGAAGCTGCCCAAGACCTGGTCTGATGCATCCCACCTGCTGGATTGCCCCAGAACCTTTGTATCCTCTCTTCCACAGGGATTTCCAGGGGTGAAGGGAGCCATTGGACCTGTGGGACCTCCTGGTGCCAGTGTCTCTGGGCCTCCGGTAAGGGTCTTCTCTGTGCTCCATGGTGGAAGCATTGCTGCGACCAAGGACGTTGCTGCTGGGAAGAGATCACAGGGCTGACCCTGCCCATCCCAGCAGCAGGAGGGATGGGAGGAGAGAGGCCTCAGGCTGGTCCAGCCTTGAGAAGACTGCACTGTTTGGGGGGAGCACTGAATCATGACAATACTGATCACTACCATCTTTTGAGCAGTGACTGCGCTGAGCCTCTGTGCTCAGCTCTAAACAGCGATTCCCTTAATCCTCAGAGCACAGCCTTTATTGCCTCCTTTTCATAGACAAGGAAATCGAAAGGCAGAGAGTGAGGAGGTAGAGCCAGAACTTGAACCCAGGTCTGTCTGCCTCAAAGCCCACTGGTTAACGCCCCCCGACTGCTTCAAACCTCGGAGCCATTAGGGCTCATCTAAACTGTGCTGCCCCACAGAACTATCCAGGATGATGGAAATGTTGTATTCTGTATCGCCTGAGGGGGTAGCCACTAGCCACACGTGGCTATTGAGCACTCGAAATGTAGCTCGTGTGACAGAGGAACTAAATTTTAAATTTCACTTAATTTTGGTTTACATCACCACGCGTGGCTATTGCCTGCTATACCGGACAGCTCAGATCTATCTAGACCAGCAATACTTCCCATCTTTTTTCTTTTTTTGCTTGAGGAAGATTAGCCCTGAGCTAACATCTGTGCCAGTCTTCTTCTACTTTGAATGTGAGATGCCTCCACAGTGTGGCTGATGAGTGGAATAGGTCTGTACCTGGGATCCGAACCCGTGAACCCCAGGCCGCTGAAGTGGAGTGCGTGAAACTTTAACCACTTGGCCACGGGGCCGGCCTGGATATTTTCAATCTTATTGCTCTCAAAGACCTCCCTTTATTACTGTCTAACCCGTGATTCCCATGTTTTAAAAGATGTGTCTGTTGAACAAATTGCATAGATTAAGTCATAATAAATACATTTCCTCATTTTCATTCATCAAAGATCTGTATAATAATCAGCTCCTACTCCACATGAGCCCACTAGAATTTTACAAGATGATATAGTTCTAGCCTAAATCAAAGAAAGGCTGCCTTTCAGCCAGCCTGTGCTGTGCCAGGTTGTGGGCAAATGTGTAATTTTTCTTGGGCTTTTGGTAATGTGGAAATAGCCCAGGGAACCACATCTTTTCTATCCTGATGGCTCCCTAGAGAAATTCCAGTTCTAGTTTGGGAATCATGGATGGCTTCCTCCTGAGGGTGCACCGAGCCCAGAGGGGCCATGGACTTGCCCAGGTCCACGCCACCAGTTTGTATTGCCCAGCGGAGCTGGTCAGTCAGGGTCCCTGCCTGTCCCAGGGAACCCCAGGGTAAATCAGAGGTGGAGGTGAACGTGGGCCTGCTCCTTGGGGAAGCGTCGAGTCCCGTGGGCAAAGGTGGCACGTCCCACAGGAAGGCGTCTGTTGGAAAGCCCTTGTGTGGCCGGGCTAACCTCTCTAAACCTTCTCCCCTCAAGCTGAGTCCCATCCAGGAGGCTTCCCAGCCCAAGCCCCACACTCACAAGTTGTGTGACCTTAGGCAAGTGACAGCCTCTCGGAGTCTCCAATTCCTTGTTGGTAAATAGGGGCTGAATTTCCTCTCTCCTCACGAAGTCAACTGAGGTAACTTGTGAGAGAGAACGCGTGTCACACACAAAAGGGCGAGAGGAGAGCCGCACAGACCTGGGTGCAATTGTGCCGTCGGATCTGTTACAAAATTTCTTTAAGCCTCAGTTTCCTCACCTGTAGAACAGAGCAATACTGTCCTGCACGGCGGGCAGTGGGGACTTGGTTCTGTGCTCTCTGACGGGTGCGTTGCATGGTGTCTGACACCCGGGAGGAGCTCAGGAAGCGCCAGTCTTTATCCCCCTCCTCCTCTCCTGGTCTCCTGTGCCTAGTTTCCTCCTCTAGAACATGGTCTCTGGGACGCGGGCACCAGGAGAGCCTGGCGCTGCTTCTGTTTGTCCTGTCGTCCTCCCCTGCAGGCGGGCCAGCTGGCTGGCTGCCATCCAGCCTCGATTACTGAGCCCAGGTTCTCTCCTTTCAGGGCGCTGAGGGGCAGCGAGGACAGACTGGCCTTCCAGGAGCCAGAGGGATGCCAGTGAGTACAGTGTCTCAGGGAAGCAGGAAGCCACATCTGTCCCTGCCTCCACAGCCCTGTCTACTCAGCTCCCTGTGTTTCTTCCCTGCAGGGTGAAAAGGGATCCCAGGGAGAGAAGGTAAGTCCCAAAGACCTGTGACCGATACTGTAGGGAAATTAGCAGCCCCTACAGCCCTACCACCCAGGGTAATCTGTGCACGTGGTAGTCACTCTGGACTGGAGGATGGGAGCTGAGAAGTCATCCCGGGCTTCTTGCCACCCACCAGCTCCTGGATCCGGGGAGCCGGGGCCCCACGCATTCCCACTTCACCTGGTTGCAGGCTCAGGGCTCAGCTAGGATCCCAGGAGACCCAGAGAGCGACAAGGCCTCCGTAGGGGGCAGCTGCATTTTCTAATGGGCCCTGAGTCAGCAGACAGGGACAGGAATTGAGCTGGGAAGGACTAGTGGTGAGAGGGCAGAGATGTATGGGACCATAAGAGAAGGGCATGGAAGCCAGGCTGGCCCAAGGAGAGTGGGGCTGCAGCCGGGGTGAGCTGTGACTGTAGTGGATGTGAGACTACCTGTCCAGCAGCAGGCGATGGTGGAACTAAAACCTCGGTAATTTCACGAGCCGTTGTTTGCCAAGCACTTGCCGTGTAGCAGAAACTCTATGTACGTTAATCCAGCCCATCCTCATGACAGTCTATGCATTCAGCATTATTATCCCCATTTTACAGATGAGGAGACTGAGGTTCGGAGAGGGTAAACAGATGGCCCAGAGGTACAATCACGAGAGGCAGATCCCGAATTTAAACCCTGGCCTCTCCATCTCTAGAGCCCACGTTGCCTCCCAGATAGCAGTTTCCAGAAGGTTCTCCATCCTTGGCCCCCTCTGACAAAGACTCTTGTCTTTTCAGGGCGAGGCGGGGGAGTGCTCCTGCCCCTCCAGAGACCTGGTCTTCTCTGGCATGCCGGTAAGTGGTGGTGCCGAGAGCCCTCCCCCCAGCCTGGGGGAGAGGCCAGGCTTCCTGCCTCAGCCCAGCGTGCTAGGGCCCCGCGGGGCTTTGCGCCCCAGCCAGCTGCCTCCCCACGCAGCCCTGCGCTTGGTGTGGACGTTGCCTATAACCTCTCCCCTTCTTTTGCGACCCCCACTCCCACCCAGGGTGCTCCGGGACTTTGGATGGGCAGCTCCTGGCAGCCGGGCCCGCAGGTGTGTCGCTTGTCTCCTCTGTCACTCCTCTTGTTTGCCAGCACCCCACGGCTTGCCCAGCCTTATGCTGCTGCCCCCAGCCATGGGGCAGAGCTTGCTTCTGGGTCTGATTATTTCTTCTTCCCTCAGGGTCCTCCCGGTGTTCCTGGACCACCAGGCCCCCCTGGAGTGCCTGGGCTGCAGGTAAAGGGGGAGAAGAGTAACAGAATTTGGGAGGCAGGGCTCACGCTTCGTGCCCCTCCCCTGCCCCACACACGCACCGGTCATTTCTCACTCCCCTGTGCTTCTGCTTGGCAGAGTGGCGTGGGGGACCCACTGACCCCTTAGGGCTGGCTGTGTGCACTCCCAGCCCTTTTTCGAGGAATGCCCTGTTGGGTGCTAGCCCAGGCACCCCCTGACAGCCATGCCAAGCTCATGCCCCGGTCAGCTGTCAGGGACCCAGAATCTGGGTCAGACAAAAATCCCCCGCACTGGAACAGAGCTCCACTGTTTTGGAGCAGCATTCCACATTATTCATGCAACAAATATTTTTGCACATCTGCTCTTTCCCAGGCACTGTTTTAGGTGCTGGCAAGACAGCAGTGGACACAAATAAAAATCCCCATCCTGTTGGAGCTTGCATTCTAGCAGGAGAGACAGACAATTGCAAGATAAATGGATAAAATATAGTATGCTAGAAAGTGATGTGTGCTAAGGAGAAAGTTAAAGCAGGGCGTGGGGATGGAGAATTGGAGGAGGGCAGGGAAGATATTTGAGGAAAGGGTTGAAAAGAACGTGACAAAAGACTTTTAAGTCTTTTGAATCAAGACTTAAAGGAAATGAGGAGTGAGCCTGTGAGGGAGTGTATCCCTGAGGGAGAAAGCAGCAGGTGCAAATGGCCAGAGGTGGGAATGTGCATGAGATGTTTGGGGAATAGCAGGGAGGCCCGAGATAGTGAGGGGAGCGCAGGAGGAGATGAGATCCCCGTGGCATTGTGATTGAAGTGTGCATTCCAAAGCTACGCAGCCTGACTTTGAATCCCAGCTCTGTTATGTGCTGGCTGTGTGGTGCTAGGCAGGTTACTTACCCTCTCTGTGTCTCAGTTCCTTCATCTGTTAAGGGGAGATAATTACAGCACCTGTCTCGTGGGTCTTTTGTGAATATTAAACGAGTTAATACATGCAAATTGTATAGAACCCTGCCTAGCACATAGTAAATGCTTGGAAGGCATTAGCTGTCATTAGGATGCTGACTACTGTTATTATTTTACATCCATTCTCTCATTCACTTGAGCCTTATGTCAACTCCAGTAGGAAGATGGTGTGATCCCTAAGTCACAGCTGGGCCAACTGAGGCTCTGAGAGGTGAAGCATCTTGTCTGAGGTCATCCGGCTGGGAACTGGCAGCATTGGACTGGGGTTTCCCCATCCAGAACGCCTTCTCGTCCCCTCCTCTGCCTTTCAGGACTGTTTTCCAATGATTTGCATTCCAGGCCCCATTTCCCAGAGGTCCTGGGAGGCACAGACAGTGGCTTCCACGTGTCTGGCTCCCAGTTCCTGGAAGAGTGATTCCATCTGAAGGAGCAGAGCAGAATCACATGGAAGCTTTTTACAAACTACTCCCCCTGGCCCGACAATTTTAAACACTCTTCCCGCACTGCCACCTGGGCTGAGAATCTGCTCTGGGGAGCCCCCATTGCCAATGGGGCTCTCCGCCGGGATCTTAATTCTCTCTGTCTCCTCGAGAGCTCAGAGTAGAGCCAATTCTCGGTCCCCCATGGGCCAGCCACACGTTTTCCAAGTGTCCCAGCTTCCTGCGGCACTGCCAGGAGGCAGGACTCTGTCTGCAGGGGGCTTGCCGTTTGCTCGGGAAAGCATGAGAGTCATTTCAAAGTGACCTGTTAACAAGCACACGCTGATACAGTGTGAGCCCTGCCAAGACACGCTGGGGAATGAGGCAGAAAAGAGTGACTGCCGAGCCTGGTCCTGGGCACCAGAGTCCTTGCCTGGTGCCAGTGCCGGAGACCATGCCGAGACTGCCACTAACAGGCCGGCTCGTGCCAGGCAGGGTGCGTGTCCTCTGCGCCAGGTCACCTCCTGCGGTCCTTTCAAGGAAAGGAGGGCTCAGCAGCTACTCTCTCCAGGCGCAGAAACAGGTTCAGAGATAGACGGCTCTTATTTGCTGGAGTGATACAATCTCACGTAATCCTCATCCATTTCCCAGAAGAGGAAACTGAGGCACAGAGGTTAAGAAATGTGCCTGAGGCTAGATAGCTAGTAGATAGTGAGTTGGTAGCCCTTCAGTTCCTCAGAACAACAGATGGGATGTTTAGTTCTGGGAGGAAGATCAGGCCAAGAAAATCACCAAGTGTCAGGCTTGAGTTAACACACAGGCAATGATTGTGGAGCAGGGGGTGAGTAATAATTTAGGGGCATAATTATAAGGAACACATTCAAAATACTTTCGCTGGGCCAGGCCCTGTTCTAAGCACTTTACCGCATTTACTCATTTAAGGCGCAGAATGATCCTGGCAGGGTGACAGTGTGTGGGGGTGCAGGAGGGGGTGGGGGAGGCGGACTCCAGGTGGGGGAAGGTGGTGTATCCTGTTGCTGGGAGCTGGGACTTGAAGGGAGGCCAGCTCTCGGAGCGGGCCAAGGAAATCCCGTGCGAGGAGAGCAAGGTGAGCAGCTGTGATTCACTCAGTGCGTGGTTAATGCGTGCCCCCTCCATGGCGGGCACCGGGGATTTAAAACGGAACATACTCCCTGCCTCCGTGGAGTATTTAATATGCAAATGTGCATTGTGAGTCTGCAAGGGGAACAGAGTCTGGGTGGCAAACATTTAACATGAGCATCCTGCGTGCCAGGCTCCGTACCAAGCTCCTCACAGCCATGATCTCCTTTAAGCCTCACCATAAACTATCCTTGTTTTACAGATAAGGAAACTGAGGCAGAGAGATTTCTTTCCCCAAGTAACCTGCCAAAAGTTATGCGGGTAGTCAGGATTTGCACCTAGATAGGTCTGACTCCCAAGCCTCCATCTTGCTGTGTACGTGAGTGTTCTGGAAGTGTCTTTTGAGGAATGATGCTGAAATAGTGGTTAAGGGAGGAGTTGGAAGCCAGTGGTCCTCACTCTGTATCTCACCTCTGTGCCTGGCTCATCCTGTGACCTTTGGCAAATTAGGTACCCTCTCTGCATTTTTTGTTCTGTTTTTAGGATGGAGATAACGCCTTACTCACCAAAATAACTGTGATGATTAAATGAGAAAATATAGAAAATGTGCTTAGCACAGAAAGAAACAATAGTTACCTTCCAAATAGAAGACCCTCGGCCCAATTTCTGACCTTCCCCTAACACGTGAGGAAAAACTCCCTGTCGGACAGGTTTTGGGGGTCACCCCTCTGGGCCTCCTCAGCTTTCCCTACAAACAGTCTGGAGATTTTGAGCTAAGAATCGACGTCAGCCTTGTGCCAGCCAGGGCTCTCAGCTCTGTAGGATGAGGGGAGGAGGCAGTGGGGATGGTGGGTGACCCACGAGCTGGAGAGGGGAGTCCACTCACTCGTGTCTCTCCTTGGCTGCAGGGAGTACCTGGAAACAACGGCTTGCCAGGACAGCCTGGGCTGACTGCGGAGCTGGTAGGTACCGCCAGCCCCCTCCCTCCTTCCCCACGGCTCAGCTTGCCATTTCAGCTTCCTTAGCTGGAGTGGGGGTCCTTCTCTCCGTCTTCGGAGGCTGGGAGAAGCCTGGCTGGCACATGGCTTCCTAAGCTTCCGCCTGATGTCATAAGCCTCCATCCCCTTTCCCCTCCTCTGTCTGAGCCCTCCTGTCATCTCTTGCAGGGGTCCTTACCCATTGAACAGCACCTCCTGAAGGTAAGGGGGTAAAGGGAGGGAGTAGGAACGGGCGGGGGTGTCCCCTAAAGGGATTCTCGTAAGTGCTCAGCTGCGTGGCCCCGCAGAGAGAGAGCTGCAGATGGAGCTTTTCGTGGGGCATTCCAGGCGCCTGGTCTAAGAGGGCCCAGTGTGGTGCCAGCTCATAATGGACCCTCAGTGTTTGCTGAATGAGTGTTTGAAGGAATCCTGCGAAGGTACCCACATGATGGATGCTGTCGGCAGTTCCAACCCTGAAGCCTGCCCACAGCAGCTGCCAGGGAGGCCCAGCACCACCCTGCTCATGCCAGGGCAGGACCCGGCAGCTTCCAAAGCAGAGTGGGGAGGGCGAAAGTGCATCAGAGGGCGGTCAGGCAGGGGGCTGTGGAGGTTATTTTCCCTGAGGAGACTGGGTGGGCGCCTGGAAGAAGGCGTCAGCCGTCTTCTGGTCAATCCAAAAAGAACCCAGGAAGGAGATGGGGTTTGCAAGAAAGGGGACTTGGGGCCTGGTAAGAGAGTTGGCCTGTGACAGGGCCTGCTGATAGTGTCAAGAGCACACCAAGGGCTGTGGCCTGGCCTGGTCCCCTAAGCTGGGCACCAAGGGTGACAAGTCCTTCCTTGCCCAGTCACCCCTAGAGATGAGGCCTGGACTCTTCTGTCCTCCAGCTCAGCTTCCTCTGGGGTCCCTCCCATGCCTTGGCCTCCAGAGCCCCCCTGTCCTTGTCACCCCTGTCTAGCGTTGGCTAGTCAGTGCCCTGGACCTCCCACTACCCCAGCAGGTGCTGGTCAGGACAGAGCGTGGGGACTTCCTGCCCCACCCCTGTCTGGACAGCAGACGTCTCCAGAAGCAGCCTGGGGTCGAGTTAACCTGCTGGCAGCAGTTACAGGCTGAATCACAGTGGAGTGTGGCAATGAAACCCCAGCTCTTCTCCCCGAGGCTTCCGGCAAGCCGAGGTTCCCCCAAGCCCCGTCCCTGGGCAAGTGATGTGTGACTCCACATGCAGAATTTGACATTTCTCTGTGTAACATTTCATCTGACAACTTCTTAATCAAGTGTTTGGGGCCCCATGGAGGGCCCCAAACAGGAATAAATGTGGCCTGGAGAAGGGGTCAGATGGTGCCCCGCGGGGTTCTGACCAGGAACCCCAGCCACCATATACACCCACAGCCCAGAGGAAGCCTGGGCCTGTGGACAGACCAGGGTCCAGTCCGGGCTCCCCCTTACCTTAGACAAGTCATGCCGTCTCTTGGAGCGTCGGCTTTCTCATCTCCAGAGTGCTAACAAGACGACCTGCCTCATTGTGCTGTCAGGATCGGATGTGATAATGTGCAAAGGCCTGTTACCATGGCTGGCATCATGGGCGAGGTGGAAAGGGCCGCCATTATCATGGGGCTTTGCGGTGAAGGGTGAAGATGGAGCAGGCACTCCTGCCTTGGGGGCCGTGGACACCGTGCCCTGGATAGACTCCAGGCTCCCGAGTCCTCTGAAATTGTAGTCTAGTTTTCATTAGTGGGTTTTATTTTTCTGGGAAGGGGACTCATAGCTTCCGCTAAACTCTGAGAGGGGTCTGTGACCCAAAGAGGTTAAAACGTCCAGGTAGGAGGAGGACTTTCTCTTCGGGAAGACTGTTCAGACCCAGTGAACAGGGAGTCTGTGCCGGTGCGATCTGCTGGGGAACGGAGGGCAGGCCCCGTCCCCAAGGGTGTCTGCAAAGGGCCTGGCTCTTCTTGCAGCTGCTGCCTTTGCTCCCTTGGGCAGAGAAGCTGGTGTTTGGAGCCAGCCTTTTCAGCCCAGATCCTCATGGCGTGTCCTCGCAGTGGGTGCAGGTTGCAGGAACAGCCGGGACAGATGGTCCCTCCACGGGCCCCTCCGCCTCCTCCCACACGCCTGTCTGGAAAGTGGCTTTGGCTTGGCCCTATCAGAGCTTCCTCCTGGAGAAAACTCAGAGCCAGTATTGGGATTGGGTCCCCTGAGGATGGAGCGGGGCTGCTGCAGGGATGTGACTGCGGGGAGAGAGGATGTGGGTGGAGGACTGCCATGCAGGGCGCCCCGGGCTGAGTTCAGAGTGGGGTTCCCCCACCCAGCCCATCCTGGCCTTCTCAGACCCAAGCTGCACTGCCCTCCCATTTTTCTCATCAGAGCCTCTGCGGGGACTGTGTCCAGGGGCAGACGGCCCTCCCAGCGGCCCTTCTGGAAAAAGGAGAGAAGGGAGACCGGGGCATCCCCGGCGTGCCAGGCTTTGACAGCTGTGCCCGGGTAGGAGCCTGGGCTCAGGGGCGGCCTGGGTGCAGGGAGAGCTCCCACCGCCTCCCCTGACAGCCTTTTGTCATCCTCCACAGTGCTTCGCAGAGCGGGAGCGCCCGAGAGCCGAGGAGGCCCGGGTGAGTGGGCCCTCGCCTCCTCCTCACCCCCTGCCCTGAGCCCTGTGAGAGGGGCCCTGGCCACTCACTCTCACCATCTCCATCCCACTCCAGGGAGACAACAATGAGGGAGATCCAGACTGTGTCGGGAGCCCTGGCCGGCCTGGTCCTCCGGGACTGCCTGGCCAGAGAGGAGAAGAGGTACAGCCAGGGCCCGGGCCCTCATCCAGGCAGGGCCCCGCGGGAGCTGGTGTCCCCACCTAAGTGGCTCTCAGTTCCTGAGGGCAGTTTCATTCCTGCCAAATGTCCTCTTGGGCTCTCTGGTGGCTCCCTGTTTCTTGAGAGTCCTTCAGAGGCCTCAGGGCCTCGGGTGCCCTGGCTTCTCTTACTGCTCTGACCTCATCTGCTCTCCTGGCACACTGGCCACCTGGCTGCTCTCTGTCCACGGGACACTCTCCCTTCTCCGGCCTCGCTGCTTCCTCTGCTTGCAGCTCTGCTCCAGGGCTCACTCCTTCACCCCTTCAGCCCTCTGCTCAAATATCACCTTCTCAGGGAGACCCTCCCTGACCATCTTCTCTGAACTGAACCCCCACCCCATCCCTGGAACCCCCATCCCCCTCCCTGTGTCCACTCATCCCCTCTGAATACTGTGTATTTCCTTCAGTTAGGAAAATTCCACAGCTGTCTGTTGAGCACCATGTGCCAGCCCCCGTTCTACCTGTGGCTGTCCACCTCTCCCCTAGACTGTAAGGGCCACGACGCAGGGATTTTCATGTTCTCTTTATTGCTGTGTCCCCAGCACCTGGGCTAGTGCCTGGGACATATTAGCTGCTCAATAAATGTTTGCTGGATGATCGAATCAACTGAATGAAAGGTTTAACATCAGCTTTCACATCCTGCTTTGATATCAGCTGCCCTCCATTGACTCTGGCTGTGGTGAGCCAGGAAGAAGGCTGCAGAGACCCCAGGGCTCTGTGGGGCCTGAGCCTCTTCATCTGTGTCTCTTGGCTTCCTTTGCAGGGTCCACCTGGCATGAGGGGCTCCCCGGGTCCTCCAGGCCCTATTGTAAGTATCTTTGGTCTCCTGGCCCACTTGAGAAGTTCGCAAAGGGGTGGTGATGCTCGGACACCATTCTGCTGCCTTGTCTCCAGGAAGCTGGGCAGGGTAGAAAGTGGGAACATACACTGCCCTCTCTTTCCTCGTCAGAGCATCTGTGGGGACTGTGGACTCCCACCACCGAATCCCCTGGAACTGACCTGTTCCGCCCTGCTCTGCCTGTGGTCCTGCTTAGGGGAGGCCCTCAGGGGCCCATCCTTGTTTCCCCACCCCTATCCTTGCAGGGTTTTGCACAGCAGACCTGGCTGTCCTGGGCAGAGGAGCCCAGGCTTCTGGCTCCTGGTCTCGGCAGCCAGGGAAGCACGTGGCAGCCTGGCCATGTCTCTCCATGCCCCCGTGACACCAGTTCCTAGAGGGGCCAGGAGCTAAGATGGAGCTGCCCTCCATTGCTCTGTAGGACCATCTCTAGGACAAGTCTGCAAAGGCCAGACCAGGGGCATCTACCCTGGAGTCCTCTGTGATGTTGACATGGTAGGAAAATAGAAGTGACTAGAAAAGACTGGAAGAACTGAAAATGCTTTCTATGGAGAAAAAAAGGCTGGTGGGAACCATCTTAGAAGCAGGGAGCTACCCACCTGGGGGCACATGGAGGTCAGATAACAGGCATGAGGGGCATCCACTCCAGCAAGGGCATTCACTTGGACTGGGAAGACGCAGGAAAGGCTGTTTGACTCGGGGTGCTGTTTCGCGTCTCTGCTGATGGCGGAGCCTTTCTTCCTGGAGCCAAGGGGAGGAGCAGATGTCTTCTGGGCCAAGATTTGCAATGAGTCTCTTTTTCCAGCTGCCTTGAAAATATTCCCGTGACCTCCTCTCCCAGGACCCCCCAGCCCCAGACTGGGCCCCAGGGTGACTGTGCTTGTGAGATGTGACCTGCCTGTTTCTCCCACCAGGGCCCCCCAGGTTTTCCTGGTGCTGTTGGCTCCCCCGGATTGCCTGTAAGAACCTAGCACTGCTCGACCTCCCCTTCCCCCGCCAGCCAGGTCTCTGTGGCTTTCGCTTGTCTCCCTCCCTGTCGTGCCCTCCCTTCCTCCTCCGTGTTTGTCATTGTCCCCCTGCAGGCACGCTAGCTAACGACACAGGTTCCCTGAGGTCCCAGCAGCTTGGACATCCTCCCAATCTCTGACTTCTTTCCATTTTCCCGTCTCCCTCTTCTCCTGCTTTCTTTATCTCATCTCTCTTCTCCCCGCTTCCGTTTCCCTTTTCTCTCCCACAATCACACGTCACCCGCCTAAGCCCTCCAGAGCTATTTTACCTTCTTATTTTAAGCTGGTGCCTCTAGGGGTCTCTTTATCCCTCCCTTCTGCCTCCTGCTTCTCCCACCTTTGGTGTTGACTGAAGATTTGCTGAAAGTAGTTCTTGGGGCCCTGCCAGGCACCTGGCAGAGAGCCCGGCAGAGATGCCAAAGCTTTAGGGCTTCACATTGCAGGCTGGCACAGGTTTGCTGCCCTGCTGCTTGGCAGGGCTGTCCAGAGGCACCCCAGGAATTGAGAGGCGGCCATGCTCGCACCCTTCCCATCGTCCTAGAGGGAACTCTCAGCTTCTTGCTCTTTCTTTCCTCTTCCTTGGCTCCGGTCCCAATCTGCTCCAAGGCTGGGCATGTGATGCCAGCCAGTTGGGTTTCTGGGTGTCGTGGGGCCCTGCCCCTCTGTGCCCCGCGTCTTGGCCTGCTCCGTCTGCCAGGTGTCGTTAATTGCTCTGCCTTCATCATCATCATCGCGTGTTTGAATCATCCCCATCCTCACTGTTGCTCCCTCCCGGGTCACGGAAACTAACCTCCTGTTTGTCAGATTTCGTGTTCCTGGGGCCTGCCTCCTCTCCTCCCAGGCCTGGTGATGGAGACTAGGGAGCAGGGCCCCTCCTTGTCGCAGCTCCATCTGTCCCCACGTCCTCATCCTGGCCGGACCTTGTCTGTTTCTGCTTGCTTGGGTGAAGGGGCCATCTGTCCGTCTAGCCATCTGTCTTGTGTTGTGGAAAGGTTTGGGCGCCATCTCTTGAGGGCACAAGGGAGAGGGGTCTGACACAGCCCCTCAATGGTGTGATGAATCTACGAAGGCCAGGGTGAGGAGCGAGGGGTGGGGGCTCTGGCTATGATTGCCACTGATGTCCATTTCCACCCTAAAAAGTGACAGGGACCGCTCTGGAGGGAGCCTTCCCGTGTCTCTCCCCTGCATCTGTAAACAAAGGTGATTTTTGGCTGGGGGGGTGGGGATTGGACAGGTAAGTGTTGGGTTTCCAGTGATACATTCTGGCGAGATGCGTTACTCTCGGGACACCTCTCCTGACAGTTGTCCCTCAGAGGAGCACACGTGCCACCCTCCTAAAGGTGCATCCCAGTTACCACAGTGGGGCACACCAATGACAGTCACCCTCCTGAGGGGTACCTCTGAGAGTCACCCACCTTGGGGGCGTTTCTCTGTAGTTACCTGCCTTGGGGGCTCTGCTCCTGAGAGGCACCCATAGGTGGGAGTGGAAACCTCTGACGGCTACTCTTCTGGGGACACCCCCTATGGTCACCTTGCCAGGGACACTAGGGGGGGCCACCAGCAACCCCCACCTTTGCCTGGAATGGCAACAGAGGACTGCTGGGCAGGAGGAGGAGTCAGGGGCTGGGTGAGGACTGCCCTCCCCGGCAGTTTCTCATGATTTTTCTCTCCAAGGGTCTTCAAGGAGAGCGAGGCCTCAGGGGCCCGACAGGGGAGAAAGGGGAACCGGTAAGAGGAGGCTGGCGGGGGATGGAGACAGATGAAGAGCCCTGGGGAGACAGAGGTTGGGCCCCCAGGGATGGCTGCTGACTGGGAGATGGGAGTGGACTCCTTCTTTTGAAACTCTCTACCCCTCAGCCCTTATTCCCTTGATATGGAGGTCTTCACACCCCCCTCAGGGTAGAAGGTGACCGATCTCCATGTGCCTGACTCCCTCTGAGGGGCAAACACCCCTGGCCCGTGGCTTCCACCTGTGTCCCTGGGGGCTTTTCTCCCTCCTGCCCTCGTACCACAGGATTCAACAGGCCCCTTCCAGCCCCTCCCTGGTCCTCAACCTCCCCTGCTCTGGGCCTTCTCTGGCTCAGCTCCCAGGGTCCTGGTCAGGCTGGTGCTTGTCACTAGGCCTGCGGGTGGTGGTCATGACCGAGGGAACCTGGACCTTGGAGGAAAAAGTGGTGACTGTACTTGGGGGCGGGCGAGTGGGCACCTGCTGAATGGCAGCTCCAGGCGTTCTGGCTTTGACTGCCTTTCACCCAGGGAGGGGGGAACAGAAATGTTGGGGGGATGGTCCATCATGTCTACCTTTCTTTGCAGGGTCCTCCAGGGCAACCTGGCTACCCAGGTGCCATGGGCCCCCCAGGACTGCCTGTGAGTAAGGGGACCCTGGCTCTGGAGGTACCAGAGTTGGGGGGGAGGGGGAGTAGTCGAGACAGGACCAGACTTGGGCGTCCCTCATCGGGCTCCCTTCTTTCCAAGCATTTCAGCCCATGGCTCCACCAGGCCATCCGTGCAGAACCCCCACTGGAAGCCCCATGGGTAGTGTGGCTTTGGGGGACCCACTGCCGTCACTGCATATCAAGGGCCAGACTCTCAGAGCACCCTGAGAGGCCCAGACCCAGCAAGGACTGAGATCTGCCTCCTGCGGGGCTTGGGAGAGCTGGGGGGACAGTGTTGGGGCACCGCCTCCTGCAGGAGCCTGCTGGGTGGGCGTGTCCCCGCTTTCCACTGAGGGCCACAGTGGCTGGTGGGGAACAGCCCACCTCTCTCCTCCCCAGCTCTCATCCTCGGCGCCATCTGCCTCTACGTGCCAGTCTGTGTGGCAGCTGCAGTCTCCACCCCTCGCATTAGCGCTGTAACAGGCGGGCCACGGGGCTAATTCCACTCTCTCTGCTCGCTTGTCAGGGCATCAAGGGAGAGCGTGGCTACGCTGGGGCCCCAGGAGAGAAGGGGGAATCGGTGAGTTGCATCAGCGTGGGGGCGGAAGGAAGGGCTTCAAACGCGCCGCTCCCTGCCCCACCACCTGCACCACCGCAGGCGGGAGATTTTCCCAGCAGCCTGTGAGGGGGGCGACATGACCCCTGCTTGCCTGCCCCCAGAGCCGCTCCAGCTGCGTCTCAGGCAGTCAGCGCAGGCTGGTTGCTGCGGAGGTGGGACCTGTGGGGAGATTCCCAGTGGGGTTCGTGGAGCCCTGGCTGGCCGGGGCTGCCAAGGGGAGGGGGGCCGAGAGTCAGCTGGCAGCAGAACCTCTTCCTCCTCCCCCATGTAGGCGAGTGGGCCAGGGTGGGCCAGAGAGAGCCAGGCCTGGGACTCCAGACCCAGCTCACCCCTGGCCTGTCCCGGGCAAGGCCAGAGCTGCCCTTTGCAGCCAGGTGTGCCAGGCCCTGTGCTGAGCACAGGTGCTGGGCTGTTATCAGATGAGGACACTGAGGCTCACCCAGGGTCCCGCGGCTAGTTAGTGAGTTAGGGTGGAGCCTGCACTTGAACCCAAGTCCCTTTGGGACAAACCTCCCAAATCTTACCGTCTTACCTTCCCCCTCACGCATGTCAGTGAGGCCCTGGGGGCTGCAGCAAACCCCGCTGTGCGTTTATTCAGTAACGAATGTTTCCCATGGGCCTGCGGGTCCCAGGCTCCGTTCTGAGGATGCCGTGATGAATAGAACATTCTCGTACCGCTCACCCTCATGGAGCTCACATTCCACTGGGGGAGGCAGATAACAGATAATAAGCAAATATATGTAAATGAGAGATAAGACCCATGGAGAAAATAGAGTGGGTTAAGGGGCTGGGGCAGTGTGCAGGACACTATTAGAGGGTCAGGGAGATCTCTCTGAGGAGGTGGCACTGAGCTGAGACCTGAATGGGGCTGGGGAGGCACATGGTTGTCTGTACTAGGGAATCGTGGAGGGAGAAACCATGGGTGAGGGCACCTCAGGAACAGATTCGAGCCACCTAACAACTTGGTAAGGTTTCAAAAGACCTAGAAAGGGTTGGGGAATCGTGGACATTCTGGATAGAGGGAACAGCCATGCAAAGGCTCAGAGGTATGGATGTATAGAGTATGTTCCGGGAACAGCAGTCTGACCAAGCAAGGCAGAAGGTAAGAAAGGGAGAGGGAAGGGAAGTGGGAAGGGTGGTTGGTACCAGATTACAGGATGCCTCAAAACCCAGCATTGCTGGAAAGTGTGCAGGTCATTCAGTTGGCAGAAGGGAGCCATGGAAGGTTTTGGAGCAAGAGAGTGTTATCATCAGAGCTGTGTTGATGGAGAGAAGATGGCAGCCAGTTGCCAGCTGGATCGGAGTGAGCCAGGAGGTGGCAGGACTAGCTAAGAGGCTGGGGCAGTAGCTCAGGCAAGAGAAAGGAGGCCTGAACAGAGCAGGGGGAGGAGTCCTGCTGGCCTAGAGGGCCTCCCACTACGTCCCCTGCCTCTGCTCTGTGCCCTGTTCCCTGCCCCATCTCCTGATCTCCTGGCTCCCCCAGTCAGTGACTGATTTTGCCCCTTTGTGTCCCCAGGGGCCGCCAGGATCCGAAGGCCTCCCTGGTCCCGTAGGCCCAGCGGTGAGTGAGGGAGGGGCAGGGAGCTGTGGACATGGGGATGCCTGACCCTGGTCCTGCCCTGGGGTCTGAGGGCAGGAAGATTGGGTTCCAGCTGCATTATTCTCTGTGGTGACAGGGTCCCCGAGGAGAGCGAGGACCCCAAGGGAACTCGGGTGAGAAGGGTGATCAGGTGAGTGGCGACAGAGACCTACCTGGCTGTCCTGACCACAGTGGATGGCTGGGGGGAGGCAGGGAAGGGACTGGGTCCTTTTCTTGGTGGTCACCCTCCTGTGGGGAGGGGTGACCAGCTCTGGCCTCCCAGGCCCCACCCATCCTTGAGTCGTGACTTCCCACCTCATGGCCGGAGCCTCGCCTGCTGGCCATCTTGAGCAGAGGGGAGGGCAAGGCCACATGGCTTGAGGCGGCCTCACTCTGTCACTCTTTCCACCTGGGCGGGAAAGCAGGAGAGAGGGGGCAGCACAGCAACTGTCCCTTGCTTCTCCCCTAGGGATTTCAAGGCCAGCCAGGCTTTCCAGGCCCTCCGGTGAGTGAACACAAAGCCAGTTCTGTCTGACGCCATCCCGTCTGGGAGGGGCAGGCCTGACCAGGCCAGGCTGAGCAAGGACAGGCCTGGGGAGGGGAGGGGAGGCAAGAAGCATGGGAGGAACGGCCTGGGTGGCCAGGCCTCATTCCACGAGCTGGGACCTGGAGAGCAGGGCCTCCTGGGTGGGCCTCAGCCCCACAGGCCAGCCAGACTCAACGTTCCTGGTGGTGTTTCCAGGAAGTCAAAATGCATCACATTAACAACAGTGAAGCAGGAGGAAGAAGGAAGGCAGCTCCCCCTCTGGCCCCACTTTCATTCCCACCTTCTCCTTTATTGATATAGGGTCCCCCTGGATTCCCAGGCAAAGCTGGAGCACCTGGACCACCCGGCCCCCAAGCAGAGAAGGTGAGAAGAACCCCAAGCTGGCCACAGTCACAGATCTGAGCCATGCAGTTCCCGTGCCTGGGCCACCCCAGCATCAGGCCTTTGGAAATTCAGGAACTGACTCCGTCATATCAAGGGTGGGGAAGGAGACCTCCAGGAAGGGCCCAGCAACTGCTTTAGGGCAACAGGCCGGGTGGACTCATGGGCCCCTAGGGATGGCAGCTGGACCAGGATGCCCGCCAGCCTCTGTGCAGCTGAGGGCCCTGCCTGTTGGGAGAGGTGGGTGGGGAGGAGGCAGAGGGGTGTAAGGGGAGGTGGGTGACTAGAATGCGACCGGCCAGCCCAGGCCAGCTTCGTCTCTTTGAGGGGAGGGCGAGGAGTTGAGTGGGGGGAAGCCGTACAGCAGGAGGTGCTCTGGGCCTTTGCCTTTGTGCCTGACAACATGGGAAGGGGGAATGGGCCTCTCGGGCAGCCGTGCTCAGGTGGTCCCCAAGGACCCAGGAGGGCAGGTGCAGCCTGTGACCTGGTGACAGGGTGGGAAGAGGCAGAGTCTGGGGGGCTCTCACCCTGGCTGCCCCTGGGCTTGGCTGAGTAAACTTTAGAGACTAGCTCTGCCTTCCTGTCTCAGCTCACCCTCTGGGCCCCCCAGATGTGACAAGTAGGTGGTGTAAGAGGCCCCAAGATTGACTTCTGAGCTTGGGGTAGGCAGAGATCATGGCCCAGAGGGAAAGGCAGGAGGCCTGCAGCCTCGGGGCGCCTCTTTCCCCTGGATGCATGCAGCACAGCCTCCAGAGCTGGAATAGGTTATAGAAGCACCATCTTGGTCTAACTTCTCACTGTTTAGGTGAGGAAACTGAGACCCAGAGAGGTCAGGGGCCTCCCAGGGGCACACAGCAAGTTAGCAGTAGAACTGAGACGTCCTTCCCTGCCCAGGAGAGCCCCCAGGCCCCTGGCTGCCTCCCCAGAGCTGGTGCCTATCAGCCACGGTTGAGGCAGTGGGGGGTGCCACCTCCCTTCCCTTCTTGGTGGGGCACCTGAGGAACAGCCCCTGCCAGAGCCCCTGTGCTGGCTCTGTACCCCAGTGCTGCCTGCTCTCCTTGGGCTGGTCATTGCAGAGAATCCCAAACCTCTGGCCAGTGGTTCTCCATGCCAACTCCCTGTGGGGCTGACATTTCCTGGGGTTGTGCTGACCCCTCCTGGTAGGAGGTGGCATTGCAGTGCCATCCAGAGCTCTTTGTTTCCCCCTGTGGGGTCTCTAGCTGGATCCCTTCCCCTCTGCCACCCCCACAGCCACTGTGGCAGGGCAGCCACCCTCTCCCCACTGGGGAATGCAACAGCCCTCCTAACTAAGTTGCCTGCCTCCCCCTCCCTTCTCTAGTAGATCTTCTAATTCATACATCTGCTCTCATCACTCCCTTGCTTTGAACCATCAATGGCTCCCCAGTGCCTGTAGCGGTGGTTTTCAGATTTTATTTTGTAGTCCTTGAGCCTTTTCATCATACAAAAGCTCATGTGAATCCTTGATCTATAAAACAGATGCAAGTGGAGCTGCTCTGGCCAAGGCAAAGGTAGGGGTTCTGGAGTCCCACCCTCTGGGCCTCCTCTTGGTACTCCCATGTCCGAGGCTCCTCCAGGAACCCCCAGGGCTCTGAGAAGTACAGTCTGAAAACCCCTGGTCTGTTGGATAGAGTCTAGTGTGGTGTTCAGGGCCCTCCCCAACCAGGCTCTTGCTCCTCCTGCCTCCTCTCCCACCCCGCCCATCACAAGGCCCCTCAGACACCCCGGCTCAGCCAGGCAGGGGACCATTTCCAAATCTTCATCCTTCTCTGAAGTTCCCTCTGGCATGCCCTTCTCTCCTCCACTTGCCCTAATCCCGGACAGCCTTCAGAGTCTAGCATCTGGTGACTCTTCTGTGGCACTTTCCCTGACCCCAGCCAGAGCAAGCTGCTCCCTCTTCTGAGCTCCTACAGCTCCTTATTCACACAGAGCACATGGACTGTTGTATTTCCCTTGATTGTGGTGGGTCTGTGACCTTCACTAGACTGGGAGCTCCTTGAGGACAGGGGCCACCTTGTTTTCACCTTGGGGAATCAGAGCCGCAGAGTGCCGGGCGCCTTGTTGGGACCAATATGAACTGAATGTGTGCTGTCAGTTCAGCACATGTTCCTGAGCACCCACCATGCCAGTCCCTGGTCAACCCTGAAGAAGATGCTGGACTGAGTAGGCCCAGTCTCCTCCTCATGGAGCAGTGAAGAAAGGGGGATGCTTTGCAGATGAAAACAGGTCCTCTTGGGGGAGTGGTGTGTGGAATATATCCGGTTAGGCCAGAACAGAACCGGGGTTAGAAGCCAGCTGTCCTGACTTCCAGTAGGCACCAGAACCTGCGGCCCAGGGCCTCATCTCCCGGGGCGGGGTAAGGCCCCGCTGACTTTGTTGGGGGGCTTGCTTCCAGGGCAGTGAAGGAATGCGAGGCCCATCAGGCATGCCTGGTCCCCCTGGGCCACCAGGATCTCCTGGGATTCAGGTGCGTGTGTGCCCTCTTAGCCTGACAGGCGTGGGGGGGGGGGGGGGGGCGGGGCATATGTGTGTGTGTGGGGGGGTGTGCATGTGTGTGTGTGCTCCTGGGTGTGTGTGGTAGGGGTGGGAGTTGGGTGTGGGGTAGAGAGGGTGGAGGGGCTGGGTCAGGTACCCCACCTCCCAGGGCTCCAGCTCAGGCCTGCACAAATGCCTTTTTCTGGTTTTCAGGGCCCTGCTGGCCTGGATGGTCTGGATGGAAAGGATGGCAAGCCTGGCTTGAGGGTGAGAAGACGGGCTCAGGAGGCCACCCCCTTCCTCCTCCAAAGTCAAGGGAACCGCCCACCTCTGTCAGGGGGTGCCATGCCCTCTGCCTTTCAGCACACCCCACCTCCCAGATGGCCCCAGAGCCCCTTGGTTTCTCAGTTCTCCTGGCAGCCTTAGCCAGGTTGGATGACCTGGGCCTCACCAAGGCAGGACGGTGAAGGGAGTAAATTTATATCTAGAAACTCAGGCAACTAATGGAACTAGGCTGGTGTCAGGAAGAACAGGCTGCAGACATGGAAGGGCTTGAGTGGCCCTGGCTCCTTGTGTCTGGTTTTGCTGGAGAATCCAAGAGGGATGGAACATGGCAAAGAGCAGAGTACCAAGGTCAACCCCCTTCAGCCCCCCAGAAAAGGAAAACTGAGGTTCAGAGAGGGCCTGGGATTCACTCAGGGTCCACAGGCAGGCAGGCTGAGCCCAGCCTGGATTCGTCCCTCTGCCCCCACATGACATTCCCTCCATCCTAGGATAGCTGGGGGAGGAGATGGAGAAAGGGGAAGACAGTGGTGAATGAGATGGGTACAAGCCAGACAAAGCTCCTGTCACAGTGCCCCTGGTCTCTTTCCCTAGGGGGACCCTGGTCCTGCTGGCCCGCCTGGACTCATGGGACCCCCGGTAAGTGCCAGCTGCAGGAAGGAGCTGGGGGCTCGGGGGTCCCAAAGCTGAGTAGGTGCAGGTTCTGCCTTGGCGGGTGGGGCAGCTCGAATCCAGATCCTCCGTGGACCACGCTCTGACTTTGGATGGGTTTGATCTGTTTGAGGAAGGAGGAGTGGGACGTGGACTCTGGTTGAGCCCTGCTTTTCCTTCCAGGGCTTCAAGGGGAAAACAGGACATCCTGGCCTTCCAGGGCCCAAGGTAAGGCCCTGGTGCCATCTGCCAAGCAAGTGTTCTCAGCTCCCCTGGAGGCCTGACCCCAGGCAGACGTGGCAGCCTAGCCTGAGCAGATGTGCCACCTGACCCTTGGCTGAGATGCCCTCCCAGCCTCCAAGCCTCCGAGGCCACTGGCGCCTGGCCTCCACCGTCTACCAACCTGAGGACATCAGAGGGCTGCTGCCAGAGCCGGGGCAGGTGTCCGGACCCCGCTGATGTGGGGTCAACTTGGTGTGGGGGAAGTCAAGTGGAGGTCTGGTGAGCTCCAGTTGCCCCTCTCTCTTCCAGGGTGACTGTGGAAAACCAGGCCCCCCAGGCAGCAGTGGCCGGCCGGGAGCAGAGGTAAGGGCCTGGGGTCTGCACTGTTGCCTGTAGACAGCCCTTGGGCTCTGCTGAGTCTGGCACGCAGCCACTTCCTCCTGCTCACTGTCCGAGGGGCTGTGCTGTCATTGGCCTTCTGGGCCGGGGGTGGGGGGCGAGCTTTTGCCCAACACTGCACATCTTGACTGTCTCCCTCCTCTTAAGGGTTATAACTGATTCCCCTCACTCCAGGCTACTGGGTCACTGATGTAAAAGGCAGGGCCTGACCTTCTCAGCGGGAGCTCCTGCTTTCTCTCTCCAACAAGACCCCTGGGCATGGCTGGTCCCTCAGGCCCTGGAAGGCTTAAGCCTGGAGGCCAGGGCTCTGTTGCGCTCCTCTGACAACCGGCCTTCCATCTGCCCTGCTCAGCCCTCTCCCACCGAACAGCCCATGTGTGTAAGGCTCTTCTGTGTCATTTCTTCCCTTTTCTGGCTCCTGCAGGGTGAGCCCGGTGCCATGGGACCCCAGGGAAGACCCGGCCCCCCCGGCCATGTTGTGAGTTAAACTGTTTCTATCTCTGCCTCTGTGAGAGTTAGGATTCCACTGGGGCTGGATGGTGGTGGGCAAGCTGGTGATGGTCTGAAAGATCTGGCCACTGGAGCAGCCGCAGCCACGTGGGGCAGTAAGGGGCTTTGGGCTCACCCAGTCCAGTGGTTCCCAGGCTTTTTGCCATTTTGTTGTTTTCTGGGCATATTAGAGTTTACTTATCAAACAAAGATCACTCACTTATTCAACAAATAATTCTTGAGCCCTGTTCCATGCCAGGCACTGTTCGAAGCACTGGGCTATGGCAGTGAGCGAGGTGGACAAGCCCCTGATCCCAGGGCTTCCATGCAGGGACAAGAAACAGAAACTAACACAAAAGCATCAGGCAGTGATGTGATGTCACAGGAGGGACTAGGAGGTGATGTTAGAGGAACCTTTACTGGAGAAGTGGCATTTGAGCTGAGGCCTGAATGTTAAAAAGGAGCCAGCTGGGGTGGGGGGGAGCTGATTCAAAGAGCCTGAGGCTGGGAGGGGCTTGGTGTGTTTGGGGAACTCCAAGGTCAGTGTGGGAATGGGAAAGCTGACCTTAGAAAGGACGTGATGCAGAGGGTGGAGGGCCTCAGAGGCGGGGTCCTGAGAGAGGGGTGGGCGTGCACGTGGAAGCAGAGACATCGCCCGGGAGGCGTTGGCAGCACTGGAGGATGGTGGTGGTGGAGCGGGGTAGCAGTGGACAGACCCCGCATGTGTCTGGAGGTGAGGACTTGCTCCTGGCCTGGATGGGGAGGGGGCGGGGGGTGGAAAGAGAGGAGTCAAGGGTGACTCCTGGATTTTGCTTGAGCAACTGGGTAAGTGGGTGGCATGTTTGCTGAGGTAGGATGCCTTGGAGAGGATATTTATTCAGCACTAATGGATTTCCCATCTACTTTCCTCATCAGCAACGTAGACAACTGCCAATGGGCACCTTTGATCAGTGCGATGCGCTGAGCTGATGGGGTTCCAGAGAGAAGCGAGTGCACTGGCATTTTATTGCAGACATATTGCAGCTGGCTGTACAATTTCCAGGAGGCTTTTGGGAATGTTAAAAATAGTTCATGGCCAATAAAAGGAACTCTCAGGGCCTCTTCACTATTTTTATGGATCTCAAGGGGTCCAGAGGTGCTGGACTGGGGACCCCAGGTCTAGCCCAGTCCTGCCTCGTTTTACAGATGAAAGAAGGAGTCACACACTCTGAACTGTGTCCCCATTGGAAACTCACTGAGGGCCTGGGGACGAGGGGAGCACAAGGTTCCTCTTCTCACCTCTGTCTGTCCAGCCCAGCCCCCTGCTGTGTGCCAGTCCCCAAGCAGGACATTCCTGCCCCAGGAGACTTGAGATGAGTAGCACAGAGTCTGTGCCTCTGGAGCTTTCCATCTGGGAGTGTGGAGGGAAGTGCTCTGAGAGAGACCTGTGTGCCCTGGGGTTCAGAGAAGGTGTAGCTCTGACCAGGGAGGTGACGTCTGAGCGGTGCCTCAGAGGTGAGGATGTGAAGAGGGACGGGAGGGCATTCAGACACCGCGCAGCGCAGGCAGGCCGGAGCACTGCCGCCTCTTAGTCTCATCGCCCTCCAGTGCTGGGGAGCTGCAGGAGACCAGGGAGGCCTGGGTGCCGGCTGGGAGCTTATTCTGTGGCTGCTGGGGTTGGTGCTGAGCGCACCCCCCCCATCCCATGCTGCACGCAGAGCCCCAGCTCCCGGTCTTTGCTCCTCCCACAGAGCAGAAGGAAGTGAGGGGCCTCAGAAGACCCAGGCCCACGTAGTTAGCTCCCTCGGGCCTGTGCCCTCTGCACTTGGCTCCGGTTATGGCTCCCAGGCCGTCCCCTCAGCACAGCCCCAGGGGTACCACTCAGTGTGCGGCTGGCGTGAGGGCCCCGTGTGCTCAGGGACCCCAGGCCTCAGCTCTGGCCCAGATCTTCTGGCAGAAGCTCAAGTGCAAGACCAGAAGGGAAAGAGGATTTAGGGAAGAGAATGGAGCTGCCAAAGTTCAGGGCTCGTTCTTGCTGTCGGTCCCTCGCTGCCTCCCAGGGGCCTTATTACTGGAGCCCTTTCCATCCCACTGACTTCGCCTCTCTTTAGGGGCCACCGGGGCCTCCCGGCCAGCCAGGCCCAGCTGGGATCTCTGTAGTGGTGAGTGACATACTCCCCTCATCCCTCCCTCCAAGGCGTTTGGCCCTGCTCTGCTGTGGGCTCCTTTCAGAGGGAGCTGAGGGATGGAGAACATCCCCCCACTTCCCTGTCATCAGCTTCTCCTGCTCCAGAGAGGTCCCCAACCGGCATGTGGTGAAGGCCTTCAGAGAGGACTCGAGGCCATCCTAGGGCCCTGCCCCAAGTTCAGGCAGTGCCATCTGTTCCTGTGGGGCTTGGGGGTGGGGGCCGTGGGCCCTGGTACATGATGGGATGTCTGCCTCTGCTGTGTGGGGTTCACTTTTCCCTCTCCCCATGCCCCTTCCTTTTCTCTAGGGCCTGAAAGGAGACCGGGGACCCACTGGAGAAAGGGGCCTTTTAGGCCTTCCAGGCCAGCCGGGCCCACCTGGACACCCTGGGCCCCCGGTAAGACCCCACATCTTATGGCACAGCCCCAGGGGGAGGGGCCAATTGGCTTGGAGCGCAGCACTGCATGTCCGGGTCTCCAGGGAAGGAGAGGCTGTTAGGGTGGAAGATGGTAGCATGGAGCTTGTGCCTGAGGATTGCATCATATTTAGAAGAAAAGACAAGCTCTGCAAGAGAGCTGTACACCAGGCCACTGCCTGACCATGCACCAGCACCACTGGTGCAGATCCCTCCACTAGGTGTCAGACAGGGGACGCCTGGCTCTGTTCTGCCTGCCTCCCCCTGCCCCCTCCCCAGGGGCACTTGTTGGTAACCACAGACAATCAGTAATGTCAGGAACCAGAACCGCAGTGCCTTTACTGTAGCTCTCTCAGCGGCTCAGAAACCGCTCCTTGGTCTCAGCTACTGTTTAATGCTAAGAGCTCTAATATATTGGTCACTGACCACATGCTGAACGGCCAACTAAGTGCTTGACGTTTTGTCGTTTAATCTATACCACAACCCTACTGAGTAGGTCAGATTGCCCCCATTTTACAGAAGAAACCAAAAGCTCAGCAAGGTTAAGTAGGCCGCCCCAAGTCACACAGCTAGTGAGTGGAGGAGTCTGCCTGATTCCAGAACTTGCATCCTTAGCAGTTCTGCACTACTCCCTCTTTCAAAGGTTCCAGACAGGTGAACCACACCAGGTGGAACTGACTGCCGGTCTCAGGGATGAAAAGTCTGCTGGGGAGCTGAGGCAGGAGCCCAGGTCTCCTAGCCCCCAGCTCAGGGTGCCTTCCATCAAAGCAGACTCTCTTCTGAAAGCAGTAGCAATGACCCTGGGGCTGGGGACCTGGAATGGGTGGATGACTCCAGCCAGTGCAGGGGCGATCTGTGGGCCCATCTGCCAGGAGGGTTGAGTGTCGCCTCCTACTCACTCTGATTTCTGCCGTGGAATCTGGGCAGGCAGGTCTCTCCAACCCCACGCCATCACTGCCTACAGGCTCAGAAGCCTCCAGGGTCCCTGGAAGAAGCTGCCAGTTGCTTTGCAGTCACAGATTCCTCTTCCCCAGCACCCCACTGGAAGTGGGCTGGACGGGGGAGACAGCCTCCTATCCTGGGGAGGGAGCAGGCTCAGGCTCGCCCTGGCCAATCTGTGGGACCTCACTGAGGACAGAGGTTCACAGTTCACGCCTTCATTCAGCAAACATTTAACATATACTCAGAGCCAGGGAAGGTGCAAGATGCTGGGATCTCAAGCAAGGAGCAAGGCAGGCGCAGTCTACTCTTTCCTCATAGAGCTCAGTCAGGGAGGTGGCCGGGAGCTGTCAGTGTGGGGCCTCCGGGAGCTGAGTGGAGTATCAGCATGGGGCTCCAGAACCAGGCTGGAGTGTGGGGTGGGGGCCTAAGTTTCCACAGCCTGTGCCCATAGTGTTGGGGGGGCGGGGGAGGATCATGGCTCCTTGGTGGAACGGGGGCTGGGCATGTCTGGTGGGCAAGGTGAGGCAAGCTGGGTTGGCACTCATCGTATTTCCATCGCTCTCTACTCCCCAGGGTGAACCTGGTGCCGATGGTGCAGCTGGCAAAGAGGTACCGATGTGCTGGCTTCTCCTTTTCTCTTGGGGCTGCTTCTTCTTGCTCTTCCCTTGCCCTGACCCTTCTTTGTTCATTTGGTAAATGTTCCCTGTATTTACAGATCAGCTCTGGACAGATGTGCAGGACATGGTAGCCCTTGTTGCTCTGGGGAGAGGAACTGGGGACTAGGGGACAAGGACGAGAGTGAGACTTGTTGTTCACTAATTTTGTTTACCATGTACCTGGTGAGAAAGAGCTAATAATAATAATAATAATAATAATAATAATAATAATAATAAATTCCAAACAAATATTTCCTGGGCACCAGCTCTTGCCAGGCCCTCCAATATGCCACAGACGGGCCCTTTCATTCTGACTTCTCGCTTCTTTTTGTCTGTGACAAGGGACCTAACCAATCTGATTACAAAGGCCATGCCCTAGGGACATCATTCTCCCTTCCACCTGTCCACCCCTCTGTTGGCAGGGAGGCTGCCATCCTTTCTCACACAGCGCCCAGCTGGACATGGCCTAGGGGCCTGGGGCTGTGGAAGGTGGCCCTTTCACGGCACCTGCTTCCCCAGGACAGCTCAGAGATGTTGCCTAGACTTGACCTCTGACTTTTGCTTTCCTCTTAGGGACCACCTGGAAAACAGGGACTCTATGGACTTCCTGGTCCAAAGGTGAGTGGGCACTGGCTGGGTTTGAGAGAAGAAGCTCATGAGTTGGTTAAGCCTAGCACCAAACCATGACTTTCGCCGTGGAGAGGGGACACAGGAAGGCCAGCGGGCAGGGAAAATAAGTGGGCAGAACTTGGAACAACCTCATCTCTGAAGACTTCTCACATGGAGCTATTTCGGGGTTCTTTGCTATGGTTGGGAGAATGGAAATCTCCAGTTCATTGATTGATTGATTCATTCATTTATTCATTCTGCAAGCATCTGCCTGATCTTCTTTCTGTTCCAGGCCCTCTGTCCTAGTCTTGGGTAAACAGAGGTCCCTGAACAATCGCTGCTCACTTAGTCCAGTCACATTTACCCTAGAGCATGGCAAGTCCAGAGGAAGGTTAGACATAGCACTGTGGGGTCAGAGGGAGGGAGCCAGCATCTCGGCCTGGGGAACCAGGGAGGCTGTGCAAAGAACAGGAACATTTCAGCTGAGTAGGAGGAGTGCCCTAGGTAGAGAGGAGGGGAAGGGCGTTCCAGGCAGGGAGGACTAAGACAGCCTGGCCGAATCAGAGAGTTATACCCAGTGAGGTCTGGCTGGAGACTTCCTTGCAGTGACATGAGGCTGGAGAGGATGTGATCGGGACCATATCACCAATGGTCTTGAATGCCTGGCCAAGGAATTAGGGCTTTATCCTGAGGGCAGTTGGGAACCATCAGAATTTCTAAGCAGGGAGTAATACCATGAGAGCTGTCTTCTAGAAGGACTGACCCAGGGGGCAGTGAAGCAGGGCAACCTTTCAGGATGCTGTGGCCAGAGCCCAGAGGGAGATGCTGGGGGCCCGCCAGGGGGATGGAGAGGAAGGGGCAGATTGCTGAGATGGCATGAGGTAGACTTGGCAGTCCTTGGCAATTCTAGACTGTGTCTTCCTGTCTTTGTAGGGTGATCCGGGACCTTCAGGACAGAAGGGCCAGGCAGGAGAGAAGGGAAGAGCTGGCATGCCTGGTGGGCCCGGCAAGAGTGGCTCCATGGGGCCTGTTGGGCCACCGGGTCCCGCAGGAGAGAGAGGCCACCCTGGATCTCCGGGGCCTGCAGGGAGCCCTGGATTGCCCGGGGTGCCTGGCTCCATGGTAAGGGGGAGGGGCTGGCAGCCATGGGCACTGTCTCACAGAGCAGGCATGTGGGGTGGAGCATGGACTGTTTTAGACGCTCCTGCTGACATTCTCTGGGAAAGAGCATGACCCCCATATGGGTGGTTCTTAACTGTGTGGGGGAGGTTGGGGGGTTTGTGGATCCTTTCTCTAGAAAGATACCCTTATGCACAAAATATTTTGTGCCATTTCAGGGGGGTTAGGATTTTGGATTAAGTATCTGTGGAAGGCTTCTGGGACATTTGCCCCTCTCCCCATCCTTTATTTTCATAAAGTCTATTCCCGGGGGAAAGCACCAGCCTTGAAAGTATAATTGAGGTAGGTTTTATTCTCTTTCCTCAGGGAGACATGGTGAATTATGATGAAATCAAGAGGTTCATCAGACAAGAGATCATTAAAATGTTCGATGGTAATTGGCAGCTGGCTGGGTGGCAGTGGGGACCGCCTGCCCCTCCCAGCTGCTTCCGGCCCCGCCCTGGCCTCCTCTTCCTTGAGCTCAGGATACTCCCCGACTCGCCCGCCCCTCACTTACAGGCGTCTGTTCAGTTTGACTGCAGACCTTCCTTGTCACTGGCTCTGTTCAGAGATAAAATGACTCCCTCCTGCCCTCCCCGAGCTCCCACTGGAGCAAAGGAGACAGACAAGAAAATCGACATCAAACGAGTCTGCATGAAGCGAGCTCTAAATAGAGGGGCGAGCAGCAGCCGTAAGATGGCTGGTGGGGTTTCAGTTTAGGTTTTCTTCCTGTCGTTGTCCATCCAGCTATGGCTGCTAGGGACTGGGGAAAGCATGGAGTGTATGCTGAAGGGGCCAGACATCTTGCTTGGGAAGCAGACGACCTTGAATGCTAGATAAGGAGTCTGGTGTTTATTTGAAGCCAGTGGTGAGCTAATGAAGGGTGCTGGAGGTGAGCGAGGCCGTAATCAGATCTGTGCTTCAGAAAGATCACCGTGGATGGCAGTGAGGAGGCGAGGGCACAGGAGACCCCTTAGGAGATGAACCCCCACGTTCCTTGCTTTAACGTCCCTCTGAAGAAAGGCTGTTTCAGACTCCATGCTGGCGGCCTGTCTGCAGCATCTACAGTCATTCTGAGTCCCTGGGGTGCTCTGTGACTTGTCCCTGTCCTTTCCTACAGAGAGGATGGCTTACTACACCTCCAGGATGCAGTTCCCCATGGAGATGGTGGCAGCTCCAGGACGACCGGGGCCCCCAGGGAAGGACGGTGCTCCAGGCCGGCCAGGCGCTCCAGGATCACCTGGGCTCCCTGGTCAGATTGGCAGAGAAGGACGGCAGGGCTTGCCAGGAGTGAGAGGTAGCTCTTTTGGGCAAATATGAGCATTTCAGGTCTGTTGTGAATATGATATTCGTGTGTACATGTGTGTTTCAAATAATCCGACTGGGCGTGTCATTTTCTGCTCTGGGATAGGACTTCTTATTTTATTTCTTTTGTCCCAGGATTGCCCGGTACCAAAGGTGAAAAGGGGGACATTGGTATTGGCATCGCAGGAGAAAATGGTCTCCCTGGTCCCCCAGGTAGGAGAAGCCAACATTTGAGACCATGAATCTAGAGCGGCAGAGATCTCCTTTCTTTCTGTTCCTCCAGTAACAGAGTTGTGTAGAACCTCAAATAACTACAGGCCTATCAACCGACATTTTATAGTAATGCCACTGTGTGCAAGACACTCTACTAGGCCATGTGGGGAGGAGGGGAGTGGAAGACTCCGGGCTTGCCCTCAAGTCCTAAACTGTGCTAGCATGGTGCAATGGAAGACAGAGGACCATAGTGGGGCCAGGGAATGCGAGTTCAAGTCCTGCTCTGCATCTTACTGGCTGTATGACCTTGATAAGGTCAAATTAAGCCAGGCCGTATAACCTCAAAGAGAATGAACAAAGCCTGATGGCCTGGCTCTGAGACCCAGCTTCACTGCTCACCACATGTGCGACCTCTCTGAGCCTCTGTCCCCATCTCCAAAATGAGATTAGTTCCTTTCTCACGGAATTGTTGTAAAGATTTGATGAATAACACATTAAAAGCACTCACCTTGCACCTGGCCCAGGGATGCTCTCAATAGCACTAGCCAGTAGTATTGTTGTTCTTGTCAAATTAATGTAAGGATCCGGTCAGGTCTTCATGAAACGTGTCATAACCTGAGAAATAGTCATCAAATGTCAGGTATTATTTACTATGACCATTATTTGTCTTTTCTTGTGATCTGGGTCTCCTGATTGTCCTTCTCTGACTCCTCCCTCCCTAGGTCCTCAAGGTCCTCCAGGGTATGGCAAGATGGGGGCAACTGGACCAATGGGCCAGCAAGGCATTCCTGGCATCCCTGGTCCCCCAGGCCCCATGGGCCAGCCAGGCAAGGCTGGCCACTGTAGCCCCGCTGACTGCTTTGGGGCCATGCCAATGGAGCAGCAGTACCCACCCATGAAAAACATGAAGGGGCCTTTTGGCTGAAATCCCCATCTCTGTCAGATGAAGGACTCCATTGGGCACAAATGGCTAAAACTTATAGGACTCTGTGATGGGTTGTGAATGTTTGGGTTTTTTTTAATTGCTATTAATATTTTTTTATCAATAAATAAAGAAACAAAACTATCTGCAGTCCTACTTCCAGGGGCTTTCTCTGGGGCTGCAGCTATATCTCCCTGTCATCTTCCTTTTGTCATTTGGTCCCAGGGTCAAAAAAGGGCATTTCCCTCATTGTCTGTGGTCACCCAGTGGAGCTGTGGGATGCCGCTGTATAGGGTGTCCCCCAGCTCAGCTCTCCTCTCCAGGTGCTTCAGAATCATCCTTTGGTCCTCTGGACCTTGTGTCCTGTCCTTCATAGCACACTGTCAGAGAAGGGGAATCACTCAGCCCCTCCCCACAATGGGCCAAAAGCAGGTTTGAAGACCCCACTTCCAGCTCATAAAGGCCCCTCCGTAGTCGTTTCCCTAAAGAAATCAGTGTTTGGTACCACACTTCTCCTCTGCCTACCCTCTTCACTTCTTGAATGTGACCCAAAGCCAATCCAGGTGGCACCCTGGGAGCTGCGGCCCAGTGCTGAGGTGTGCTCACCTGCCTGGCAGCACCTCCAAGTGCACAGTCTCTTCTTGCTGCTCCAGTAATTCTGTGATTACACAGCCTGTGCAAACAGGAGGAAAGAGAGGCTCCAGCCCCTGGCCTAGGCAGCCAGGCAACGCTTCTCCGGGAAGTGAGATGGAACCTCCTGTTTGCATGGCCCTGTCACCAGCTCGCCTGGACTGCAAATGGCATCTTTTGTTATTCTTTGTTGATCTAACATGCGTGGTTTTCTGTCCATCTTAGCCTAGGCTTTCAGGGACAGGCTGCATCAGTGCCAAGGGGTCATGGCAAGCCAGGCTCCAAGCTAAGCTCATGGTCCTCAAAGTCCACTGGGAATTTGGTGATCTATCTGCTGTCTCCTCCATATGTAAAAAGGCTAAGAAAAAAAAAAGACAGCAAGTTGAATATTATAGAAACATTCTGTTTCAAGCTTCTTCCTTCTCTACTTTTCAGATCTCTTGTCCTGATGGGCTGGCTGCCCCATGAGAAAGCAACAGGGCACATCCAGAGAGACTTCCGAAGAAAGCCTTTTTACTGGCCTGAGCTTTCTGGAAAGTTTATTCAAGTTGGATAAACTTCAAAGGGATCACAGAGCAGGCTGAGAAATGTACCAAGTCTAAATGCTTATCCAAAATGGCTGAAGCCTTCAAACGGCCTGTCAAATCCTTTCAGAGCTGGCATTTCCAGCACAGCTCAGAAAATTCCCTTTGGGGCGGTTAGGCCCCAAATACCAGGCGACCAGCCTACTGATCGCTTTTCAGAACCTTTGCCCTATTTTTTGCCTGCCAGGAGCAGAGGTGTGCCAGTGGCATGAAATCAGGCGGACTCCCAAACACGCCTGGGTGTCTCACATGATGTTTTTAGATAAAGGAGGAGGGAATTCTTATTTTCAGTCTCACCAGCGATTCTCAGTGAACCCTGGTTCTAACATAAAACATTAAAAAGCAAACACATCATCTTTGCACTGAAGTAGCAGCCAGTTTTGGACAGTGGCTGAGGACAGATGTTAAAGTGCTCCCATTGGAAAGCCAGCTTTCTCTTTCAGCCCAGTCTGCAAAGTGCTAGCTGATGATCGGCCTCGTGGTAAGGAGTGGTTGGCACGAGTAGAAAGAAAGAGAAGCAAGGACCAGCTGTTGAATTGAGTAGGTTGGCTTTGAAGGCCAGAGGGGAAAATTGCTATGAGGAAGCATCAAACTCATCCTCTTTGAGGGCCCCCAGGGAAAAGAGCATTCCAGAGTAAATGATGCTTTCTTCACTTTCTTCCCGAGTCAAATTCCTACCACTCTTAGGGGATTCCACGACAGGCTGGGTTTAAGCTTTCATGATTTGAGCACTTGTCTCCCTGGAGTTTAAAATTGCTGTATCTTCTTGGACCATGAAGAACCAGATGGAAAGCTGAATTTTATAGTCTCTTTTCTTACTGCAGTCAGCAAAAAATCCATGGATTTTCCTCCTAAATTCAGGTACTGGGTGAGCTGGAGAGAAAAGAAGGAGGCTCTCAAGCCGTCCACTCCTTTTAGGCAGCTTTCTCACATTCCCGCCCTGTTATTCTTCTGTCTTCACTTCTTAGTGTATTCCAGGCTTTGAAAGCAACACGCAGATCATTCAGATTGGCAACGTCTCACCTGTTGAGTCCATTTCCTCCTTGTCCTTTGTGCCAGGAACTGTACTAGGCTCTGGAGATTCAGAAGCAAACTAGACAGATATGGTCCCTGCCCCCACAGTGTCTATGGGGAGACCCGAGAGTTAAAAAGGCAGTTACAATAAAGCGGGATGATGGGGCAGTACAGGTGCCAGGGGAGCACAGAGCTGAGGGACCTGACCTTGTCTACACAGAGATGGATGTAGGCAGAGGGAACAGCATGTGCCAAGGGCCAGAGGTGATTGAGCACAGGACACTGAGTGATGAGACAGTGCAGTGTGGTCGGGATGCGGAGCGTGAGCAGGGGAGACAAAGGGAAGCAGGGTTTTACGAGAGGGTGTGTTGGGGCAGGTTTGCCTCACGGAGAACTCACCGATGACAGCGGGAAGAGTGGATTGGAGGGTCCTTAATTTGAGAGGCCCTCTGCACTGTAAGATGGAGAAATAGCTGCTGCATATTTATTCTGCAAAGAAAAATCCCAAAATTTGATGCCTTCTGGAATTTAAATCTTCCTTTTTGTCATATTTTCCCCTCTCACCAGAATTCAACAGAATCTATTTAGACTCTTCCTTCACATGTGGTCTGTTAACCCCTTACAAGACTAGATCTTTTTGCTGTTGTCCTGAATAGTCCATGGGAATAGAATGTATCAATGTACTCTCCATATGATCCCATAATGGAAGGGGAGCGTGGCCAAATTGCCATGTCTGCTGTTCTCATTTTTCTGTTGGTTCTGTGGAAAACTGAAAATCACCCTCTGATCCACAGCATCCGAGTGGATTTTGAATTTCAGAACTGGAGCTAGTCAGAATCAAAGAGAATTAATTCCACAATAATTAAGTGGGTGTTGGTATTCCTTCTCAGTAAGCAATACCGGAGCTTGGTGCGGAGCCAGGATGCCTGGGAGGAGTGCTGTGTCTCTAGGGGAGGCGATATTTTCCAGTGGATGGTCCTTCCATTACCAAGCTCTGCCTCACCTCTAATGGCTCAACCACAGGCCTTCTGTGAACTCAGGAAAGTGCTCTGTGCTCTAAAAAGGGCTGGAATCCCAGTTTTCCCCTTTGGCTAAAGCTGAAACAATAACAGGAACCTCCCCACCCACCTCTGTCTGCCTCAGGTAGTTGGGGCTTTGGAAATGAGTTGATTGTTTTTCAGTCTTTGGAAGATCCTCATCTCCCTCTTATCCAGCCCTCTCCAAAGTAAACACATCTGGGCCTGCTGCAGGTCCTCAGCAAGCCCCGGACGTTGGCTTTGGCTGGTCTCTGACTGCCTGAGAGATGACTCGGATGCCCTGCCCCCGGATAGCACACATATCCCACAGACCGTTCTCCTAAGAGCCCTTTGCTGAGCAGAGAGGGCTGGGGGCGTGAAATTCTCATAGGAATCCAATCCTCAGCACCTAGAACAGAGCCTGGCAAGCGATGGGAACTCAGTAAGTTAACATGTTTGTGGAATAAAATGAGCGTGCGTCATATTACCCCAGTTTGCAGGCCAGGGGTCACGCTTCTCTCTCCCAGCAAATATCCCCTGACCTTCAGCCCAGACTACAGGACTTCTTCCCTTCGGAGATTTTGCATTTTGATTCTACCTATTTTTTGGACTTGCGGGGGGAGTGGTTACAAAGGTAAAGAGGACAAGACCTACTAAGTACTGAGCAGTTAAAAGATTGTGGACCTGGGTTCGAATCCTGACTTCTCCACTTGTCTTTTTGATACTAGGGAAGTCACTTAATCTCTCTCAGTCTCAGCTCCTCCTTATAATGGGTAATAGGATCTATCTCAAAGCATTGTGGTGAAAATGAAGCAACACATTGTACTCAGCACAATGTCTGGCACCTAGTAAGCATTCAATACAGGGTAATAATAATAATAACTACTAACAATTATTGAATTCATGCCACGCATTATTTTAGGCACTGCAGATAGGGGCGCAGATAAGAAAAGGACAGTCCTACAATACACATGTAAACTTTAAAGAGGACAATTCAAGTAGTGATAATTATTATGAAAAAATATGATGTGACTAGATTGATATGATGACTAGAATGCAGCGGTGGTGGGGGCAATGCTACTTTAGATGCAGTGTCAAGGAACCCCCCCCAAAGAAGGTGATAGTTCAACTGAGACCTACATGGCCAGGAGGGGCCAGCCAGTAAAGAGCCAAGGGAAGAGCATTCCAGACGGAGGGAAGAGCTAATCCAAAAGTCCGGAGGTGAGAATGAGCTTGGGCTGGGGACCAGGCCAGTGTGGCTGGAGTGAACTGAGAAGGACAGCAGTGGCAGGAAGTGAGACTGGAGATGCAGGCAGGGTCTTGGTCATATAGGGCCATGAAGGTCATAAGGATTTTAGATTTTATTACAAGAGTTACGAGAAGCCTCTGGAGGGGCTTAAGCCCAGGCATGATATTATCTGATTTACATTTAAGACAATCACTCTGGCTGCCCTATGAAGAACAGAGTGTGGCAGGAAGTGAAAGCAGGGCCGTTGGTCAGGAGGCTACTGCAGGGATCCACACCAGAGACGATGGTGTCTTGGGCTAGGGTGATGGCGCAAACAGGGAGAAAAGAGCAGATGCGGCTTTGTTTCTGAACCAGAGCAAATGGAGGTGGGGGAGTGAGTGGAGAAACAGGGGCCACACAAGAATGATCCTAGTCTTTGGCCTGAGAGACGGGGTGGATTTTCTGAGATGAAAGAGAGGAATGGGTTTTAGGAAAAATATCAAAGAGAACTCTTACACAAGGCAGGCTGGAATATAGCACAGTGACAGTACCAAGTGCAAAGGGAGGCAGACAGGAGAGCGGCTAACTCTGGAGCTGGGGGGAATGTGGGAGGGGTAGCTGGGGGATGGGACCAGAACTGAGCTTTGAAGGCCTGGAGATGGGAAGGCTGCTGGTCTG